TGTTGATTTCTGGTGTGATATTTTATGTTTACGAAAAATTGAACACACCTCCTTATTACAGTACTCTGAACCATTATCAGAACGCACTACTTTCACCTTCGCGCCAGTTTCAGTTTCCACAATATCTATATATTTACTAATTACTTCAGGAACTTCAGATTTGGCTTTAACACAAAATACGTGCCGATAATTCGAGTAATCATCGCGAAATAGAACCATATATCTTGATCCGCCAAAAGACACTTCCTGCATCGGACCGCACACGTCTGTATGGACTAAATCACCAACTTTATCGGCTCTGTTTTTGCTCTCCAAAAATGGCAATCTTGTTTGCTTACCCATTAAACAGCCTTCACAAGTTGTATAGTTACCTGTATATTTTATTTTCTTCTGATCCAAAACTTCTTTTACATGGAGCTTGTTTTGATGGCACATGCGCTCATGCCAAATTTTGAGAGATTTTTCTGAAACTGCCGTATTTGCTTGTTCAAATGAATTTACTGCTACCTTCAACACTAATTTAAAAAGTTTTGAATTTTCCCGAACTCCTTTAAGGAATGTTTGCCCATCACGTTTGAATACACAATAATCTGCTTCAGCTTCCATTACATACCCCTTATCTAGACAAACACTTGTTGAGAACAGATTTAGCTTAATATCCGGTACATAAAGAACATTTGACAAATACTTTGACCGCCACATTTTACCATCAAATGCTTCCACATATATGTCTCCGAATCCGTAGGCGAGAATAATGGCTCCATTTCCTACCCTAATTCTCCTCGGCTGTTTAAAAATTTTGTAATCCGTGAACCACTCTCTCCTGTTGCACATGTGGTCACTAGCACCCGAGTCGACATACCAACCTTCATCTTTTAATGTTGTCGATTCTAGGAATATTTGTTCTCCGATAAAAGCATCACCATTTTTCTTGAATTTCTTTTCAGACTTCATTGTACATTCACGTTTCCAGTGCCCAAATTCTCCGCATTTAAAGCATTTTCCCTTTGAACTTTGATTGGTCTGTTTCTTATTAGTGTTCGTTAACTTTCTTTGAGTTTTTCCTTTTGCCAGAAAAGCTTCAGAGTTTGATGGTCGAATGCCTAATCTCGTCTCTTCCATAGACAATCTTGATGTTAAATTTTTCAATGTTCGTTCTTCCCTAGCAGTTGCTTCCCAAGACGCAAAGAAATGATTGTATTCGCCTGGCAATGTCATCAAAATTTTTGTTATTAACATGTTTTCCGAAATTTTATCACCCAGATCCTCTAGTTGTTTTGCCATTTTCTGTAATTTGGAAATATGAACAGCGATACTATCTTCTGGAGATTTTACATATTGGAAAAATTGCTGTTGTAAAAGATGTATAGACGTTTCAGATTTTTGTTCATACACACTTTCCAGAAATGTCCACATTTCCGCAGCTGTATCACAATTCATGATATGAAGCATTGGTTCTTCGCCCATTGATATTACTAAAATTCGTTGAGCTTTAGCATCTGCAGAAAGCCATTCTTGCAATTCCCTGCCAGATGTATTAGGTTTCTTTGCAGTTCCATTTGCGATATTCCAAAGGCCACCCGCACGAAGCACAACCCTTACTTGAAACTTCCAAAGAGTCCATCCTTCAGAACCTTCTAGCTTAGATATCTTAAATTCCTCCATTGTGATGTCCGTTGTTGTAATTTTCAGTAGTCCAAACTCTTTCCCGTTATGGCTCTGGGCCCATAACCTGTTAGCAGAGTAAATGAAACGACCAGCAGTTCTGATGGAACAATAGCAACTAACAAAAATTATGTATTTATTGAAAATTTCTAATAACAAAATTCATAGCATGTTGAGCAAATTACAAAACTAAAAACAACAAGTTCTACATTCTTGAGTGAATATTTTGTCATAAACTGGATTTTCTACAGTTATATATAACATCTGTAGATGTATTTATCTAACATTAATAATATTCAACATTTCATGATTTCATTTTGAAGGACAAAATATATTGTATATCTCATTTATTGACGGTGTGTATCGTTTTATTTTTCTTGTTCAATTTCTAGGGAATTGATATTTTACGAGTACGTCCAATGAAATCCGTAGATTTTCATGGAAATTATCAAAACATACTATTTATTAATAATGTCATACCGTTCGTGACATCACAAATAAAATCACAGGAGATTATGGATCAAATATGGAGTTATATCCGTTTCATGTTCATATTTTTTTTATATCCAATTATAGTAAATAACGCAATGATGAACGCAATGCATTGCATTTTAATATTGATAATATATCATCCATCCTTGATTGAGGTTAATGGATGCAATCTTCGACGAAGTCCATTGTAAATAATTATAAAGTTTTAATTCACATAAATTTGCACTACATACTTACGCTCTTTATTAACAACCAACATAAATAATTGATAAATGAATATTTCATTAAGAGCTACAAATTGAAATCATGCAAGTGATATGAGACTTCTGCAGCATTCAATAAAAACAGATATCAAAATTGTATTCAAAGTAAAATATGATGACAAGTGTTTGCCGTTGTTTCCGGAGACCTCCAGAGTATCGATTCTTGTTCCATGAAATTGTGAAATGAAAATTATGAGGAAATTAAATGTCAAATGAAATCAAATCTTTAATAAAAATATTTTTTACATCATATTTTCATTGAACCAGAATCCCTTGCCAAGTCTAATGTGTTCCGGCTATTGATGAAGAAAAAATTGTACAAAATGGAAGATTTAAATGAAAAACAAACACTATGCTACACAAAAAATAGTTGCAGTGTAAATTCAGTGGAATAAATGTTGACATCCTTTAAATCCTGTACATCCCAATATTGTTATCATTATTAGATGAAATATTAAAATGGAACACTTCGGTGCACTATATATGGTTCCTCACGAACATTTCCAAATATTTTCAAAAAAATTATCACATATCTCATACAAGATCAATGCATCGAAATATTTGAATATAGCTTCCATCTATATCTTCTTCCGATTTAACGGTTATTGTGCACCAAATATGTAATAGTAGATCGAATTGGATTGATTGTTACACGTTCAACCAAGTTTTTCCATTTTGTGAAACTAGGTTCCCATATATCTGTTGCTACGATTTATTTTATCCTCCACTTTTAAAAGGGGTACATTAACTTTGTCATTCCGTTAGTAACATCCCTACAAATTCGTCGTAGACCCCATAAAGACATCGTCTGTCTGTTGAAATCACAATACAGCCAACATTATTTGACGTGGAGCTTAGAAATTTTGCAGAACAATTTGTATTGTGTCTACGATGGTTGATTTTGAAAATAATATACATCGGTCCACGTTTTGGAATAGCCCCCATATAACGATAAATCCCGATATTCGGTATTTTGATGATTTTCGCCATATTTTTTCACGGAATTGTCTAAAAGTTGGTATTTGTAGTTCATAATGGGTTCTTCCTCCGAAATCTTTGTTCGTTTACACCTTAAAGTATTACCATAATTATATTTTTTAATTTTTTTTTATTTTTTTTTTTTTTAACCAACAAATATTCGTATATAAAATTAAAAAAATATTCACATACCAATTTTTAAAAGAAGCCGTGAAAAAGTATGTCGAAAATCACCAAAATACCAAATATCGGAAGGTATCGTTAAATGGGGGCTATTCCAAAACGTGGACCGATGTATATCATTTTCAAAACCATTTCAAAACCATAATACAAATTGTTATGCCAAATTTCTAAGCTCTACGTCAAATAATATTAGCTGTATCGTGATTTCAACAGACATAACAGACAGACGAAGTCTTTATGGCATACATAAGGCATCCGTTTTGAAAATTGTAGCTCTTTTAAAATAAAATTTTTAATGTGGGGAAGGAGAGGGTGATAGAGGGAGAGAGAGAGCGAGAGAAAAGACTCCAGGTCTAGAGAGTGACGAAGGAAGGGAGAGAGAGAGAGAGAGGAGAGGGAAATAAAGAAAGGGAGGGAGGGAGAGAGAGGAAGAGGGATAGAGCGAAAGGAGATGGTGATAGAGGAAGAGGGAGAGAGAAAAAGTGGAGAGAAAGAGGCAGAGCGAGAGAGGAAGAGGAGAGGAAGGGGAGAGAGAGAAGAAGAGAGAAGAGGTCGATGACTCCAGGTCAAGAGGTCATTGGGAGAGGGAGAGAGAGGAAGAGAGGGGAAGAGAAAGAGAGGAAGAGAGGGGGAAGAGAAAGAGATGGAGAGAGAGAGGAAGAGATAGAGAGGAAGAGAGAGAGGAAGAAGAGAGGGAAAAGGTCAATGACCTCTTGACCTGTGGTTATTGACCTTTTTTCTCTCCCTTCCTCTCTCCCTCTTCCTCTCTCTCTCTCTTCCTCTCTCCTTCCTCTCTCGCTCTCTTCCATTCTCTTCCTCTCTCTCTCTCTTCCATTCTCTTCCTCTATCTCCGTCTTCCTCTCTCTCTTCCTCTCTGTCTCTCTTGACCTTGGGTCAATGACCTCATTGACCTTTCTCTCTCTCTTCCTCTCTCTCTCTCTTCCCCGCTCTCTCTCTCTTCCTCCCTCTCTCTCTCTCTTCACTCTCCATCTTCCTCCCTCGCTCTGCCTCTTTCTTTGTCCCTTTTTCTCTCTCTCTCCCTCGATCATCCTCTCCTTGCGCTCTTCCTCCTCCTTTTCTTTATCTCCCTCTCCTCTCTCTCCCTTCCTTCCTCACTCTCTTGACCTGGGGTCTTTTCTCTCTCCCTCTTCCTCTATCAAGAGAAGGGGGAGAGAGAGGAAGGGGGAGAAAAGAAGAGAGAGAGGAAGGGGGAGAAAAGAAGAGAGAGAGATTTCTCACTGTGTAAAGGAGACAAAAAACATTTTAAATATTTTGCTATTTCAAAACACATACAATCACAAAAAAAATTGAGGCTCTCTGCTAGGCCTGCTTTAGACCCTTAGCAAAAATTCGACAATTGTATAAAAGTACTCACCTTGTTGGTAATTTTTATATTCAGCAGGAAAAAACTACGTTTTGTCAAGGTCAAATTTATTCAACTATGAAATTCAGTACGCTCGATGTATTTCAGAAACATAAGTTTAACGTTTGTGGTATAAACGACGAAGGTGTATAACAAATATTAGCCATGGTCCTTTTATATAGGAAAAATTTACCAGTTTTAAGAATTATATACGTACATTATGTAACATATCAAGATTATTGACGGAATCAATCAGACTGCTTCCGAACTTCAGTTGTGCATTTAGGTTTGGACCTCATTACATTACAACTCGATTGTAAAAGGTACGTTGCGAGAACGATAATGGCATGTTGCTAGATTCAGTAGTTGCATGATTTTCATAAATTCGAGGCGCAGGTGTTGACAATCTGAAAGAAAGGGAAGACAAAATTTTTAATAATTTACTTCAAACAAGTAAGCAAAGTGGCCGGGTGGGGCCACTTTACAAAAAAATTCTCATAGGTCCAGAACAAGTATTGTTCAAAAACATACTATCTCAAACTGTAGCGTAGACTAACGTCAAGGAAGTGGCCAGAAAAAAAACAGCAACATCAGTAGAAATGGTCCGAAAAGTAAACAAGTAAAAAAACATTAAGTTCGGCCGGGCCAAACTTTTAATACCCTCCACCTTAGGGTAAAAGAAACATTAGAGGAAATGTGGCAAAAACCATTAAAATGCCGATTATGGGGAGGTACCGTTATAGGGGGGCTATACCAAAAGGTGGACCTATAATTACAATGTTTCGCCACCGGAGCTGGAACCCATTATGACCCACAATACCAATTTTTAGACAAATCAGTGAAAAAATGTGGCAAAAACCATCAAAATACCGAATATCGGGAGGTACCGTTATATGGGGGCTATATCAAATCATGGACCCATGCATGCAATGTTTCGCCACCGAAGCTGGAACCAATTATGACCAACAAATACCAATTTTCGAACAAATCCCTGAAAAAATGTGGCAAAAATCATCAAATTACCGAATATCGGGAGGTACCGTTATATGGGGGCTATACCAAAACGTGGACCTATAATTACAATGTTTCGCCACCGGAGCTGGAACCCATTATGACCAACAAATACCGATTTTCAGATAAATCCGTGAAAAAATGTGGTAAAAAAAAACTAAAATACTAAATATCGGGAGGTACCTTTATATGGGGGCTATACCACAACGTGGACCTATACATGCAATGTTTTGCCACACGCTCAGGGACCCGCTATGACTTACAAATACCAATTTTAAGACAAATCCGTGAAAAAATGTGGCATAAATCATCAAAATACCGAATATCGGGAGGTACCGTTATATGGGGACTATACCAGAACGTGGACCGATATATCTCATTTTCAATACCAACCATCCTAGACACAATGCAAATAGCTCTGCTAAATTTTGGAGCTCTACGTCAAATAATGTGGGCTGTATCGTGATTTCAACAGACAGACAGAGAGACGGACAGACAGACGGACATCGTTAAATCGACTTAGAATTTTATGCTGATTATGAATATATATACTTTATGGGGTCTAAAACGAATATTTAGTGATGTTACAAACGGAATGACAAAGTTAATATACCCTCCTTTCCAAGGTGGAGGGTATAAAAATCGACTTGATCGAAACCCACGTCGCAGTGACCGAAAAATGGCTTGTGAGCTGAACGCAATGTTTATTCGCAAATATTGAAAAATGAGCTTGGTGTAAAGCCATTGAAATTCCAAAAAGTGCAAGAACTTACACCACAACAGAAAGCAAATAGACCCAAAGAGGTAAAGAGTTGCTTCGCTTGGCCGAAAGTGTTGAATTGCCGAATTTGGTCGCTCTCCGCTCGTATTAACCGACCGTGGCATCAGAATAAATGCCGAATAATATCGCGAAAATATTCTGGATGGTGTATTAAAGCCTTGGCCACGCAAATTTTTTGGCCGCAGACCTTGGACATTCCAACAGGACTCAGCACGCGGCACCCAAGAATGTTTACACAATGAGATTCCTAGCTCTCTTTCCAGCGCACAATGGCCACCAAAATCTCGTTCGGGAAGCGTCACACACTGGGCGTTTGAAGGCCATAATTCGTGCCAAAGGTATCTACATCTATAACCGCATCTACATCTATAAAAGAGGAACATTTTCGTATGTTTGTTTGAAATTTATCGACCCGAAAATTCCTGAACAGAGTTCCATTTTCAAGTTCTAAGTATGTATACTGCAACTTGGAACTGGAAATATAGCAGCAGAATCCGAAAAATTTAGATTTTATATGCACATATCTATTGATCGATTACAGATACAGTCTGCAAATTTGGAACGCGTAACGGAATTTGGAGCAAAAAGAAATTTGATGAATTATATTGAAGTCGGTTCAGATTTGGATATAGCTCCCATATATATTTTCGGCCGATTTCACATAACGTAGAGTATACAAATTGAAACAGTATGGGTCCCTCTGTAAACCAGAAATGCCAAATTACTAGGGTGCATCGCCTTTGTTCGAAAATAGCTCAAATGATTAAAATTTGTCCTACAAAATATACTTACCAACAGTTAAACCACATATACGTATACTTTTGACACGCTCCGACACATGTTCGTGCCTCAACAGACCTTGGACAAAATTCACTTGCATCAGCTCGTCATGATGGCCGTAGAAGAGAATATGAAGTTGTTCATTATTGGCCATCAGATCCAACCAACATTCTTGGGCAGCAGTAAAAATACCAAACGGCATAACAATCGACCTTAAAGAGGTTTTCGTATTTTTTCCACTTTTGGGAAATCCTTGAATCTCGCTGATGACGTCTTGGGTGTGTACATTCAAACGGCGCAAAGTCAAGTTTTTGATAAGTATCCAAATGATACACCACGATAGACCGTCGCACGACGTAAAGGTGAACTCTTGAAGAGATTTCATGGTGAAGGCAACACGTCTCAGCAAATAGGGATTCGGGATGTTTAGCATCCTCAGATTGGGACACTTCTCAATAATCCAATTGTTATTAATGTCACCGTTCAGCCATTGAAGCTGATGTAGGTTTTCAAATTTGTTCAGCGACTTTTGGAAGGCCTCAGAAATGGTGGTAAATAGAATTGTGTCGATGGTGATGTGCTGTAACGATGGCGAAACATAGATATGGCTGATCTCACCCAGCATTCGAGTATTTATCAAATTAAAACGCCGTAGCAGAGGTAGGCCACCCATAATCTCTTGTAGGTTAGCAAAGGTAAAGCCGCCACAGTTGGACAGCGAAATCTCTTGAAGTTTCTCCAAGGCACAAAAATTCTCTATTTGAAGATCACAATTCTCGATGCATAAACGTTTCAAACCAGGCGAGGTATTGGTCAAGATGTTCATTATTTCCACACTGAATTTGGTATTGCAGTTGCTTACATTTATTGAGAGTTCATCCAGACTCGAAGTTTTTTTCAATAGTATCTTAAACAAAGGCCAAAATTCGTCTGAAATGCATCCTACGTCAAGAATTTTCAAATCCTTCAAATGTAAACCCTTCTTTTTGTTTTTGTTGGCGTTACCAATAATTTTCAAATTTCTTAGTTGTAAACATTTCAAGTTCAGCTTTTGTAGCAACTCTAGCAGGAAGTGACAAGGCAGATCATTTTCGCCATCTCCGTTCGATGGATCACTTTGAACAACCAACGCTTCTAGGCGTAGTATTTGCGCTAAAAGCTCAAGACAGAGATTATATCCGGGCCGCAGGGGTTTCAAATCCTCACAAACGCACTCCAACAATTCTATTCTTTGCAGTTTCCGGCAATGTTTTGCCAACAGTTGCAACTGGTTCCCTCCCACAATAATTTTATGATAGCACAGATGTACAAGATTTTCACAAAAGTGGACGGGGAAAAAATCTGAGTTGTTAAAACTGGCACCGAAATCACAATACTCCGAGCATATTTTCAGTATGCGAACATTTTTTGAATTGATCTTAAACAGCTGCCTACAATACTGGGTTTTCAGGACTACTTTTCGTTTCTTAATTGCCTCTAAACCTCTGACGGCTTCATGAGACGGGCCAGCCAGTGCATCGTAGGCAGCAATTCGACAATTCTCCACCAGAACGCCCACATAGGGCGTTTGATAAATATGTACACTACGAAGTTTGACTTTCCATATCAGCTCCACGATAACATAACGAAATGGTTCACAAACATGCAGAATCATAAACTGATCATTAACGCACAAATACTCAAATATGTTTTTTAAAATATTAAAATTTGAGAGGATTTTTTTCAATATTACATCTCGCCGAGTTGTCGACATTCTTTTAGAAAAAAATCTGTCGTTTCAGGGACGACTGTGATACAAGAAATGATTGTCTTATCTTTTCTGTGAGATGATTGAATTGGGCGTTGAAATAAAATCCAGAAATAAACGTTCTTCTACTTAGTCAGTTCTTAACCGCATATGATGCTACAAATAGCGTCAGTATTACAAGACATATCCGCATATGTGTGACGAGATGTACAATCGACTTGCTTATGTCAGACCCAACAAAGTTTATATACAGAGTGAGATAAAAAATGCAACAAATTAAATTTAAATTTTATTGATTGAAAGCAAATAATGTCGGGAATAGCATCAAATTTTAGAATAAGTTTAGATTTGTTCGAATCGGTCACCTTTGCCACGAATTATGGCCTTCAAACGGCCAATAAAACCGTCTCACGCTGCCCGAATGTTGCTCTTCGGTATTATGGCCCATTCCCGGCGAAGCGCTTGCTTTGAATGATCGACACTTTGGTATTTTTTAGTACCAACATTGCTTTCCGAAATACTCCAGACAAAATGGTCCAACGGATTGGTATACGGAGATCTTGGTGGCCGTTGTACGCTGGAAATGAAGCGAGGAACCTCATTTTGTTACCATTCATGGATGGCCGTGCTGAGTGCGATGGTGCTGACTCCTGTTGGAATGTCAAAGGTCTGCGGCCAAAATGTTTGCGTGCCCAAGGCTTTAATACACGATCCAGAATATTTTCGCGATAATATTTGGCATTTATTCTGATGCCAGTACGAGCGGAGAGCGACCATCGGCTGTTATGGGGGCCCATACCATCACAATGGTGACCAATCGAAGGTGCACATTTTCAGCTGACCTCTTTGGCAAGTAATCACGATAATATTGTTTGTTTACAAACAGCTGGACAACGAATGTTTTCTCCTCGGAGAAAACCAACTTCGTCAGTTCACCACTTTCGCTCAAGCGAAGCAACTCTTTAGTTCTTCGGAGTCTATTTTCTTTCTGTTGCGGTGTAAGTTCTGGCACTTTTTGGAATTTCAATGGCTTTACCTCAAGCTCATTTTACAATATTTGCCGAATGGAATATTGCAATACGTTCAGCCCACGAGTCATTGTTTGGCCACTGCGACGCGGGTTTCGATCAAGTCGCTTCTTTACTTTTCTAAGAATTTCTGTTGATGTTGCTGTTTTCTTCCGTCCACTTCCTTGACGTCGGGCTACGCTACCAGTGTCACGGTAACGAGCGATGGTACGAGACACAAAAGATTTATTCACATTTATTCAAGTTGGAAGATGGGCTACATCGGTCCACGAGATCATATAGCCCCCATATGACGGTATTTCCGATATTCTGTACTTTGATGATTGTAGCCAAATTGTTCAATGAATTTGTCTAAAAAAACATAAAATAAGTTCTTTCTAAATACTATACTCGGTTCATGATATCGTATAGCCCCCTTACAACGGTACCCCCCGATATTGGGTATTTTGATGATTTTAGGGACATTATTTAGCGGCTTTGTTTCAAATTTCATACTTAGTGTTCCTAATGGGTACTACAGCCTATGACAAAAAATTGCCAATGCAGACCCACGTCTTCGTCCCCCATATAACTTTATATCCCTATTTTTTTAGCCAAATTTCTCACACAATCGTCTGAAAATCCACACAAGGAGTTCCTTCTGAGTACTTTACCCCCTGGAAGAGCATTGTTTATATAGGTCCACGATTATGTATATCCCCCATATAACGGTAACCCCCGACATTCGTATTTAATGACATTAGCAACACAATTCACCGGAATCTTTATACTTTTTATATATACTTTATATGACCTGAGAATTGTGTACCCAGGACCAAGTCTTCGCGTATAATGGTACCTCACGATATTCGGTATTTTAAAGATTTTACTAACATCATTCTCTGAAATTACTCAAAATTTCGTATTTGAAGTTAGTAATGGGTACTTCAGCCTATGACAGAATATTTTGTTTGCAGGTCCACGTATTTGTATAGCCCCCATATAACGGTACCTTCTAATTCGGCATTATTCGCGGTATTGTTTACTGAAAATAATAAATATGCCATAAAAGGAAAAAAAATATCTACAAACTGACTCCTCATTTCTGCATGCATTAAGTGGTGGAAATTGGACATACAACTCATTTTTTTCCCTTTTTATACCCTCCATCATACTATGGAGGGTATATTAACTTTGTCACTCCGTTTGTAACTCCTCGAAATACACATGTCAGACCCAACAAAGTATATATTTTCTTTGTCAGCGTAAAATTCTAAGTCGATTTAGCGATTTCCGTCCGTCTGTCTGTCTGTCTGTTGTAATCTATTTGAAGTTCGAAATGGATATTACATCCTAAGACAGAAAATTGTATGTGCAGGTACACGTCTTCGTATAGCCCTCATATAACGGTACCTACCAATATTCAGTATTTTGATGATTTTAGGCCCCATATATCAGTATCCCTCTATATTCGGTATTTTGACGAGTTTAGGTACAATACCCACCGAAATTGTTTGAGATGTCGTATTTGAAGTTCGTAATCGTAGCTTAACCGTTTATTTCAAATTTCGAATTTAAATATGGTAATGGCTTATGACAAACAATGCCTATATTGGTCCTCATCATATAGACCCCAGTATAACGGCTATATTCGGTATTTTTAATATTTTAATAGAATTTTTTTTTTTTTTTTTTGATTTTATTTTTTGAAATTTTCCATATTCGTTTCAAATGGTGGAGGTTATTCAAAGTTCGGCCCGGCCGAACTTATAGCTTTTTAACATGTTTCTTTTTGTCCTTTTAATAGATTCACAAATTTCTTTCATTCCTAAATTGAACATTCAGTCACTCGAAGCTCCAATTGCCACCAAGTGCAATTAATTCATGCACTCAAGTGTCCTGCCTTTTTTCAAAGTGCACTGCCAAAAATAAAACAAAACATTTCATGTATAAATAAAATTAATTAAATTTTATATTTTTATTGTAAATTTATTGTTTCGTGACCGGTAATGGCTTGTCATTTTATTCAGTTGAAGTAGTGCTCTCGTTTTATTTGTCTGGAGATCCGCAATTTCTAAAAAAAGCAAATACGAATAATTAACAAGTAAAATAAGGTTTTAAGTTCGACGGGGCCGAACACATACCACTGGCAGAAAAGTTTCAAAATAGGTCTTTGTTTTTTTTCCTTTTTTGGTATTTATACTCTACGCCAGGTAATGGTAAGGGTATTATGTATCTGTGTATTTGTTTGCAACATTGAGAAGGAAACGAGACAGGCCCAAAGTTACTTTTGAGGATCTTCATAGAATCACTTTCTGAGCCGATTTATACATGTCAGACCGTCTGTCCGTCCGTCCGTCTGCCTGTCGGTCCTGTGTTTTCGTGTCCATGTATTTTTGTGAGCAAATGCAGCTCGCATTTATTATCCGATTGGGAGGAAATTTTCTACAAATTTACCAGGCCTCAGGACGACGCCTATTGAAATTTGTGAGAATTAGTTCAAAAAATGCTCCCATATGTATCTTCAACCGATTTGAGGTTAATTGTGCACCAAATGGCCAATATCAGTCCAAATGCCCTGAATTTGAATTCAGTCCAGAAGCAAGTACATAAAATCGGTTCAGATATAACTACAGCTCCCATATATATGTTTCATGCAATTTGGTGTTTAACTCTCTCACAGTCGTAATATGCACTCCACTAGAAAGACATTTGATACCAGATATCAGATACATCCCAGAAATACCTCTGTCATGTTTTATCGAGATCGAAACAGATTTGTATAGAGCTCCTATATATATCATTATCCGATATCAGGTTTTTTGTGCACCAAATGCCAATATCAGTCCAAATGATCTGAATTTTGACACATCTGACCGAATGTAGCAAACTTTGGTGAACATCGCTATAGCTCCCATATATGTGTTTCATCCCATTTGGGGTTTTAAGACCCTCACATGCTCAATATGCACTCCACAACAATGGCAATATTTACCGGAATCTTTTCAAATGTCATATTTCAATTGTTACTACAGCCTATGACAAAAAATTATTTATGCAGGACTTCTTGGTTTTCATTTAAACGGTCTTTTTAGGATTTTTATACCCTACACCACAAGGTGGTCAGGGTATTATGTCTTTGTGCATTTCTTTGTAACAGGCAAAAGGAAACGAGATAGACCCATAATTCCTTTTGATGATCTGCATAGAATCACTTTCTGAGTTGATTTATGCATGTCAGTCCGTCTGTCCGTCCGTCTGTCTATGTATTCTTGTGAACAAAATGCAGGTCGCATTTATTATCCGATTGAGATGAAATTTTGCAAACAACATTTGTTTGGCCCAAGGACAAACCCTATTGAAATTGGAGATAATCGGTAAAAATTTAGATAGAGCTCCCATGTATATCTTCGTCCGCTTTTGTGCTTTTTATTGTGCACCAAACGTGTAATATCAGCCCGAATAGTACGAAATTTTGTACATACTGAATTAGGCCTGAAAGTAAGTATGCCAAATTTGATCGAAATCGGTTCAGATATAGCTATAGCTCCCATATATATTGTTCATCCGATTTGTTATTTTTGTCCTCCGCAGCCGTAATATGCACTCTGTAACAACAATATTTGGGGAAATATATCAAATGCAGCTCAGAAATACCTTTGCTAAATTTTATCGAGATCGGTTCAGATTTGGATATAGTTCCCATATATAACTTCGTCCGATTTACCATTTATTGTGCACCAATATTTCCAAATGGGATGGAATTTGGCACATACGACCGATTTTAGTCTAGAAGGTAGTATGCCAAATTTGGTGAAGATCGGTTCAGATATAGTTATAGCTCCCATATATATTGTTCATCCGATTTATTGTATTTGTTACCCACAACCGATATTCAGGGAAATATATGAAATACAGCTCAGAAATATCTTTGCCAAATTTTATCGAGATTGGTTCAGATTGGGATATAGTTCCCATATATATTTTTATCCGATTTCAAATTAATTTCGCACCAAATGGGCAATACAAGTCCGAATTCAAAAGATACAAATGCTTCGGCATATTTAGTCCTTTGAATTTTAAATTATAATTATAATCATAGGGTGTATGATTGAATTCTCCCATAAAAAAACTTTTAGTTGTTATGTGGAGCTCAACTAAATTAGCAAAGTGGTGTAGGGTATCATAAAATCGGCCCCGCCCGTCTTTAGGACTTTCTTTACTGGTTTTGAATTAAGTTTCTTCCAAGTGGTGGAGGGTATTAAAGTTCGGCCACACCGAACTTAGGCTTTATTCCCTTGTTAAAATTAAAGAGGCATTTTGAAACGGAGTTATTCACATTTATCAAGTTCCTTCTAAACTGTGGAGGGTACTAAAATTACGGTCTGACCGAACTTACCTACTATTTTATTTGGTATTGCAAGAAACTAATTCCGGAAATAGCGCATATGAATAAAAACAGGATGCTTTGAAATGGTTGTTATTGAAAATATGACGGTTCATATTTTAGTATAGCCCCCCTATAATGGTACCTCCCGATATTCCGTATTTTGGTGGTTTAAGCCACATTTTTCAACAGATGTGTATAAAAATCTTAATATAGCTTCGTTGACGGAACATTGAGTATGTAGGTCCACGTTTTCCTATAGCGCACCTATTCCTTCGGATATTCGGCATTTTGACGATTTGTTGCAACAATAAAATCTTTTTTTTATGAAAATGTTTTCAGTAGTTAGTGGTGAAGGGTATTATAAACTTAGCCAGGCCGAACTTAAGTTTTTTTACTCACAAGAGACCAAATTCGACCGCGCATTGCGGAGGTATGGTTAATACGACTCTTACTCACCAACTGCAAATCCACAAACATTCAGACACTTCAAATTATTCCGAACATAGGGGAATTCCAATAAGTCTGACAAAAAATTCATATTCAATAAATTTTCGTGTTCGCCATAGAATATCAAACTGAGGGAACGATTATTATTTAGCAAATCCATCCAAAAATGCTGGGCCGTGGAATAGGTTTCAAATGGAATTAGAATAGTGTTCAGTGTCGTTCGAATATCTGTGGCATCCTGAGGTTTCTGTTTGCCGTCATCGATGGTTTCCGTTGTTTGTACGTTCAAATGGTACAAAGACAGATTCTTTATTAGCAGCACTAAGAAACGCCATGAGAATCCTTGAAGCGAGGTAAAATGCAATTCGCGCATCGATGTCATTTGGAAAATGTTTGCAGATATTAAGCGGGGATTCGGTATGTGCAGGACTCGCAGATGGGGACATTTGTTGGTTATCCAATTGGCATTGATATAGCCATTGAGCCATTTAATGGTATGCAATTGGAGCATTTGATTTTGGGAGTTTTGAAAAGCTTCCGAAATCGCGGAGAAGTGAATTGTATCGATTGTAATCACTTCCAGAGTTGGTGAAATCTGAAGGGCGGCAATATTACCCAATACTCGGGTATGAATCAGTGTAAAGCTACATAATTTTAGACTGCCCAATATCTGAAGGAAATTGGCGGAGGTGAGGCCACCACAGCAGCAAAGTTTCAAATGCTGCAGTGTCTTCAGTAGGGTAAAATCCTCAATGTGAAGATCACAATTTTCCAGTGACAAACTCACCAGTTTTCGACAGTTGATGGCCAATAGTTCAAAATCTGCTGTAGTCACCAGAGTATTGCAATCCATAACCCGAATATTCAAACACTGGAGGTTGTGAAAATCTTTAATATTATGTTTGAGATTTGGCCATGATTCCATTGAGATGTGGCCAATATTCAAAACTTCCAACAAGTTGCCGTTTCCCGATTGCAGTGTATCTCCGTCATCGTACAAGATTCTAATATTTTGCAGAATAAATGCCTTCAGTTGCATCTTGCTTAGAAGTTGGGCCACAACATTGTATTGCATTTCTGGCAGGGGACTTCTCTGCTCACATTTTACCGCTAACTCCCTGAGTTGCGCCATGCTGACAAGGATATCGATGTTCAAATTGTAGCCCGGAATAAGACAATGCCATTCACTGCAGTGGCATTCATTGAGGGCCAATTTTCGTAATTTTGAACAAAATTTGGCCACTATTATCAAATGATCATCGGTCACCACCATTTGGTAATACTGCAGTTCCCGCAAATTCCCAAACAATTGTATCCTGCGAAAAGCCACTCCCATCGATTCACGAAGCACAAAATATTCCGAGTACACACGCAACTTGGCCACATGCCTGGCAACTTGCTGCAGGAAAATGTTACACTGCTCATAGCGAACGGCCATTTTCGCTGTCAATGTTTCTTGCAACCACTCGCAGTCTTCCGATTCTCGTTCTGTTCGACCTACATTGCTAATAACACTAATGTAGGGTGTTTTATAAATATTCAACTCCCTAAACTTCTTCTTCCACACTCTGTTTGTTATGATTCGATGAAATGCTTCACAGATTCCTATGCATTTGATTTGATCGTCGAGACATAGATGACCAAAGATTTTCTCTAGTACTGTTCCATTAGCAAGAATTTCCTTCCATATATCCATGTTTTGGTGTTCCATTGTCTACTGTATTCCTGTGGACTGAGGCGGCTTACTCTGACTAAAAGTGCTTGCGATGCAATTCCTTTGTTAGTCACAACAATTGTGAAAAATGCCACTCGATTTTAAATGGATAGCAGAAACCACAACAATTCTAAATATACTTGGGATTTTTTTATTTATTTACATTATACCCTACATCACTATGTGTTCGGTGCGTGTTATAATTTTGATTGGGCCAAAGAGTTTGTAATATTTCGATATATTGGTTTTAGATCCACGAAAAAAATTCCTGATTTTGCAGTTGCTCACAGGTCACAATAAACGGAATTTTGCATGAGGTTGAAGTTTAAGTTGGCAAAAATTTCCATTAAGCGGCTACTATTTTTAACCCTGCAAAATTGTTGATAGCCAATAGATATAGGATATATAGCAAATTATGTACAATCTACCAGAAAGAGTGGACCGATCTTGATCACCAGATCTTGTGTTATTAAAAATATTTTAATGTGTGAAAATTGTAGAGAATCGGATGCTTATTTCGAGTCTTATGAGAGATATGTATATTCAACATTTGGACCCGTTGTGTGGGAGATACCAGAAGGAGTGGTCCGACATATAATATATTCACACCTCGACAGGTACAACAAGGAGTGGGTCTATATTGTCCATTTTCGCACCTGACCCAGAAAAAATACAAATATTAGGATTTTAAACATTGAACAAAATCGGATGATCCTGCCTTGTTCTATGAGGTAAATTATTTTCTGTGGAAATTTTGACACTTTATGGGGAGATACAAGAAAAAGTGGACCGATCCAATGAGTCCAAAAACCAAGGGTCCAAAATCGTTAGTTCGATAAGACACGGGTATAATGATTGACTAACTGTTTCATCAACGCCCAGGCGAAACGGTCAATGTTGGGGGGTAGGGGTGAGATAAGTCGACTTTTGTGGAAATTCGGACTAGAAGTGTACTGAAAGCACTAAATCTCGTACCTTTTAGTATTTTGTGAACGGATACAGTTACAATTTTAGGAAATGTGTACTAAATAGTACTAAATTCGGTTCAATTTTAATTTGTTTGAATGGATTGATCGGAAAATTTATAATGTTGGTATTGTGGTCCCTGCTGGGTGATATGGTTAAGATAAAGAGTTGGGTTTGGAAATGCGATTAGCAAGCGTAGGAATGGCTCGAAATGGTACTAAATTTGATATTGCGTGAACGGGTACTGCCAGAAATCTGAAATTTGGCATTAGGATCACTGTTAGTTCTTAGGATTAAAATTTGGGGGTGGTTTCGGAAATTCGTACAAAAAAGTACTAAATGGTACTATATTTGGTATTTGGTTAAGGAATTGAGTTGCAAGTTGAAAATTTGACATTAGGACCACCTTTTGTGTGGTTTGGTTGATACACGGCGAGGGATTTGGAAATATGTACTCATATGTACCATACGTACCAAATAGTATTAACTTTGGTGTTTGGGGAAGGAATAGAGCAAGAAATCTGAAATTTGGATATTGTGTAGGATAGACAAATAATTTTTTTTTTTTTTTTGAAATGCGAAAGTAGTTAAATGCACCTAATTTGGTAGCATTTGGAACTAGGTGAAGGGTAGTGCTAAATGGTACTAAATTCGGTATTTGATTTTGAGTGAACTGAAGAGGCTGGTTATTTGAAATATTAGTATTGGGGTTCGTGTTGGTGGTAGGTTTGTGATATTTAAGTGATTTTGGAAATGTGTACCACATGTACACGAACAGTACTAAAAAGTATTATATTTTCTACTGTCTGGTATTGGACGAAAGAGAGTTCTTTAAATCTGGAGTTTAGTATTACGATAGCTGTTCATTTGTGGACTGGATATAACTGTACTATAATTGTATTAAAAGGTACTAAAAGGTACTAAATTGGGTATTGAGCGAAGGAATAGAGCTGGAATCCCGAAATTAGATATTGAACTTTCTGTTTCTATCTGGTATGTATATATTGAGTGGTTTTGGAAGTGTGTATCGTAATTGTACGAAAAATACTATGTGCTCCTAAATTATATAGGTTAAAAGAATAGAGCTAGATATTGAGGTCTTTGTTTGAGAGTGAGATGTAGTTTGTTTTTGATATGCGTACTAAATGTGGTACTGGGTAAATAGGTTGGATCTGTAATTCTGAAATTTTATTTGATTAGATGGTATCCATGTTTGAAATTTAGCGATGGTTTTAAAATCCACCCCATATTTGTACGAAATATACTAAATGTTGCGAAATTTGGTATTGAGTGAAAGAATAGAGTTGAAATCCGGAAGTTTCATATATATACCGCTGTTGGTGTCTGTGGTTAACATATGGAGGTGGTTTTGTACCAAAATCACCATTTTTTGCAACATGCTTTGTATTTTTTTTTGGCTACGTAATGGTCGCAGTTGCGTATTTCTTGTAGATTATTTAAGGCAGTAATAACAATTCTTATGTAAGTTAATATAATTGTGTTGGATAGTAAGACATATTCAGGTCCTTAAAAAAATATATTTTATTGATTACAATTCAATTGTAATTTTAAAATTTCTTGATCGATAGTGGCTTATTTTCATATTGAGGTTTTGCATAGTGTCATCCCATGAAGTTTTAAGATCTTCAATATCTAAAATGAAATAGAAAAGAAATATTTAATTTGTTTTTTTATTTGAACAAAATATTTTAAGAAAGTTGAGAACTATATATTAGATTGGCTAAGTTATTAACAGGTCTCCAAAAATACACGTCATTATGGTATGGTACGTAAATCCATTCAAAATGAATCTAAGAGTTTAAAAAAACCGAATCTAACTCAATTTTTAGTGATGGCATTCGTTTCATTTACGTTCGGCAGGGCCGAACTTTTAATACCTACCATGAGTCCACATTCATTTTTGCCAGTGAAATGGATTGGTAAAAAGTCTTCAGAGATTAAGAATTCCGTAGGGATTGACTGCTGCAGTAGTTGTTACTTATCGGGAACATTAAATTTCCAATTTCTCTTAAAAATATGACTAAAATCACCAAAATATCAAATATTCGGACGTATCTCAATATGGGATGTATCAGAAATTATGGCCAATTCAAGCAGTCTGCTATCACAGAACGCAGAACCCATTACAAACTCTACATACCGAGTTATAAATAATTTCGCCAATATCGGGAGTTACCTATATATACAATGATCTGGGAGATAGAACCCATTACGAACTCTAAATGCCGAATTTGAAACAATTCCGTTGAGAAATGTGCCAAAATCATCAAATGTGAGGAGGCACGATTACAACAGACAGACAGACGGACTCGCTAAATCGACTTAGAATTTTACGCTGATGAAGAATATACATATATACTTTGTAGGGTCTAAGATGAGTATTTCGGAGAGTACCTCCCTATATTCTGTATTTTGATGATTCGGTATTTATATGTATTTCACTGGAATTGTTTCAAATTTGTAATTTGAAATTTCTGACAGAAAATTACACATAGAGGTTCACGTCATACAGTCCCCATATAACGGTACCTTCCGATATTCGGTATTATGATAATTTTTGCGATATAATTTACCGGAATGGTTTTAAGTTTCGTATATGAATAACCTATTGGCCTATGACCAAAATTGCATTTACAGGTCCTCGTTTCTGTATAGTCCCCCTATAACTGTACCTCACTATATTCGGTATTTAGATATTTTTCACCGAAAATGTTTCAAATTTTGTATTTGAAGTTTCTAATGGGTAATAGAGTCTATGACAGAAAATTACATATGCAGGTCCAGGTCTTTGTATAGCCCCCATAAAACGCTGCCTTCCCTCTATTCGATATTTCGTATTTGAATATCTTATTGGCCTATGACGAAAATTGCATAACTCCCTATTTGGTATTATGATGATTTGAGCAACATTTTTTTAACGGATTTTTATAGCCGATAACACACTGCGGTACAGGGTATTTTGACTTTGTGCATTTGGTTGAAACATGCAGAAGAAATCGAGATAGACCCATAGTTCCTTTTGATGATATTCATAGAATCACATTTTGGATCGATTCCTCTGTCCATGTATTTTTGTAAAAAAAAGTACAGGACGCATTTATTGTCCGATTGAGAAGAAATTTTCCACACATCATTTGTTTGGCCCAAGGACAAACCCCATGGAAATTGAAGATTATAGCTCCAAATTTAGATATAGCTTCCACACACACATCTCCGAATGATTTCATGTTTATTGTGCACCTGATGGTTTATAACAATTTGAATGGAGTGAATTTTGGTACTTCCGACCACATTTGGCTTAGAAGCATGTACTTCAAATTTGATGAATATCGATTCAGATATAGCTATATCTCCAATGTATATACTTCATCCGATTTGGTATTTAAAACCCTCACATTATTAATATGCATTCTACAACAATGATATGTCATAGAACTCAGATATACCTTTGTCCAATTTTTTCGAGATCTGATGAGTGAATATAATTACAATTCCATCTATCTATACATTTATGTTGCCAAGAAGACTATTCCGCAGTTTTACAACAATATTCCATAGTATAACATTTTTAAGAACGATTGACTTTCCTCTCACGCTTACCTATAAGAAATCCACATATTCTCAATTGTTTCAATGTCTGCTCCATTAGCGGATGCTTCAGTAGACTGCGCAAGAACATGGGACTAAACATGTCCCGATACTGACCATAGAAAATAATTCTCATGTGCCTGTTCATGGACAGCAAATCCATCCAGAAATCTTGAGCCACTTTGAAGATGTGATGCGGTATAAGGATACTTTCCAGCGAAGTACAAATATTATAGGCATGCTGCGGTATATCGGAACCACCATCCATGTTGTCGAATGTCTTCATCGAGAAACGTTTCAACGAGAGATTTCTAATTAGCAACACAAAGAAACGCCACGACAACCCCTTACAGGATGTGAGTGCCAACTCTCTGAGAGTGGTCATTTGGAGAATTTTATGACGTATCAACTGGGGATTTGGTATGTGCAGCACTTGTAAATGTGGACATTTATCCATGATCCAATCATCGTTGACATCGCCATTTTGCCATTTCAAAATTAGCAAATTTTCCATACGCCCCACCGACATTTGAAGAATATCGGAGATTTCATTGAAATAAATCGTATTGATTTGTAGCTCTTGTAGTGTGGGTGTAATTCGAATATCGATAATTGTGCCCAGAACACGAGTGTGGTGTAGGGCGAACGATATCAGCGGCAATTCACCCAGCACCTGTTGCAGGTTATCGGCTGTGAAACCGCCGCAGTTGACAAGGGCCAGATGGCGCAGACTCTTAATTACACCGAAGTCCTCAATGAAAAAGTCACAATTCTCCAATGACAAGCGCTGCAATTTCTTACAACGGTAGGCCACCAGTTCCAGTACCGTTGAATTGATTAGGGTTTCGCAATTCAAGACATTGATGGTTAGATCAATGAGATTGGAGAAATCTTTCAGATGATGTTTGAAGTCAGGCCAAAATTCCAGAGAAATGACACCAACATTCAAGACCATCACACAGTCCCCGTGGGCGATGCGCACCGTATCAGCTCCACTGTCCACGATTTTGAAATTGTTCAAGACCAAACTTCTCAATCGCAGCTGTGATAACATTTCATGCAGGATACGACATTCAATTTCCGGTTGGGGTATCATCTCCTCGCACTGTACCACCAGTTCACGCAGGTATTGCAATTTGTATAAGTGTCTAATGTCCAGATTTTCACCTGGTACCAGCACCGCCAATTGCTCACACGTGCACTCAATAAATTCCAATTTCTGCAAATGGTAACAGGCGAGAGCCAAAAGCCTCAATTGACTATTCGACACAACCAGGCGATTATAGCTTAAATAACGTAAATTATGAAACAACTGAACATTCTGAAAGGACACGCCCAGTTTTTGCTGATAGCTTATATATTCGGAATACAAGCGCAAATTTCGTACATTTGCCGCCACCTCTTCCAGAAACGTATTGCAAAGATCCGTTTTCACAGCTGTTTTGTGGTCCAACAGCTTTTGCAATTTCTTATTGATATTTAGCAAATCGGCGCGATCGGATCTTGTGTTCGTTATAATGCTCACATAGGGAGTTTTATAGACATTTAGATAACGAAATTTATTCTTCCACAAGAATTTCGTTACAGCTTGGCGCCACGATCTACCCACATATATACATTTTATTTGATCTTCCAACTTCAGATATTGGAAAATATGCTCCACAATATCTTTGTGCTTTAGCAGTTTGTGAAATGAGCTCATTTTTTGCTATAAATTGTAGCAGCGATACCCGTGTACTGGACGGCCAATATTAAATCGTACGCTGTGGTTACTCAGCTATATTTCAACGACATTATGTATATACAAATATTTATACATACGCACATACTTAAGTAGTTCGTAAGAATTGTGGTTAGGAGAAAATATATATTTGGTACAAGAAAGAGGTTTAAGGAGGAAGAGACAAAAATGTTATAAACAAGTAACCATTATAGAAGGCGTTACATTCGGCAGGTTAGAAATTTTAATACCCATCACCATAAGGAAATGAAAGCATTGCGAAGTATTTCCCAATTTCAAAAGTGTTCAAAACAGTTGCAATACTTTTATTACATATCTTTTAAACCCCTTGAAATACCGAAAATCTGGTGGTTCCGTATAGGGACATAAGCAGAAATGTCGATCTAAAAAATTTTCCATACAAAAAATTATCATTTTTCTGGCACCTAGGGACCTGGATACCTGTTGTCGCCCCATTGTGTAAGTTTCTGGTTCCGTATTTCGATGAAAATATCGTTGAGAATATATCGATGAGAATATTTTAATTGGACCCCTTTCGAACACAAGTAAAACAAGTTAAAAAGCAGAAAGTTCGGTTGGGTCGATCTTTGAATACCCTCCACCAGTTGGAACGAATTTGGAAATTTTCAAAAAAAAAAAAAAAAAAAAAAATCCTTAAAAAATTCTGTTAAAATTTTAAAAATACCGAATACAGCCGTTATATTGGGGTCTTTGTTTGTCATAAGCCATTATCATATTCAAATTCGAAACTTGAAATAAACGGTGAATATTGTAGCTAAAATCATCAAAATATTGTATATAGGGGATGCCGTTATATCGGAGCTGTGTGAAGACCTGGACTAGCATAGACAATTTTCTGTCACATTACGAAAGTCAAATACGACATCTCAAACAATTTCTATGGGTAGGGGGTACTGATATATGGGGCCTATACAAAAACCTGGACCTGCATAGTCAATTTTCCGTCACTGACTGTAGTTCCCATTTCCGGTGAATAATGACGCTAAAATCATCAAAATACCGAATATCGGTAGTTACCGTTATATGGGGGCTATACGAAGACGTGGACCTGCACAGACAAATTTCTGTCTTAGGCTATAGTATCCATTTCGAACTTCAAATACCAAATTTGAAACAATTTCGGTGAATATCGGGAGGTACCTTTATATGGGGGCTATACGAAGACGTGGCCCTGCACAGATAATTTTCTGTCATAGGTTGTAGTATCCATATCGAACTTCAAATACCACAGTTGTGTGAATATCGGGAGGTACCGTTATATGGAGGCTATATGAAAACATGGACCTACATGGCTCATTTACGAACTTAACCTGCCTACTGTAACTCCTCGAAATACTCATGTCAGACCCAACAAAGTATAAATATTCCTGATCAGCAAAAATTCTAAGTCGATTTTGCCATGTCCGTCTGTCTGTCCGTCTGTCTGATGTAATTACGCTATCTTTCTATCTCAATTCGTTCGAAAGATAGCGTAATTACATCAGACAGACGGACATGGCAAAATCGACTTAGAATTTTGCTGATCAAGAATATTTATACTTTGTTGGGTCTGACATGAGTATTTCGAGGAGTTACAAACGGAATGACAAAGTTAATATACCATCCATAGTATCGTGGAAGGTATAAAAATGGTACATAAAAGTGTTAAAAAAAGTTGAAAAGCGTCTGCCGGTTTTGACGACAAAGGGGTGGGCCAATGTGCATTTCGTATCAGATCTAAGTCTGATGCAAAATGTACCACCAGGAATGTACCGTTGAATACTATATTCACATCAGATCTCTGTTAGCAAGATTTACAAGAATCCTTGATTTATTTCGCAAATCGTGAGAGATGTAAGTATTTACAAGTAAAAGAGCACATAAGTTCGGCAGGGTCGAACTTTTTATACCCTCCACCATTTGGAAAGAACTTGAACAATTTAAAACCAGTAAAGAAAGTCCTAAAGTCGGGCGGGACCGATTTTATGACACCCTACACCACTTTGCTAATTTAGTTGAGCTCCACATAACAACTAAAAGTTTTTTTATGGGAGAATTCAATCATACACCCTATGATTATAATTATAATTTAAAATTCAAAGGACTAAATATGCCGAAGCATTTGTTTCTTTTAAATTCGGACTTGTATTGCCCATTTGGTGCAAAATTAATTTAAAATCAGATAAATATACATGTGGGAGCTTTATCCAAATCTGAACCGATCTCGATAAAATTAACCAAATAAGTAAAAAAAATTGGCAAATATATTTCTGAGCTGTATTTGACATATTTCCCTGAATATCGTTGCTGCGGAGTCATATTATGGCTGTGGGTAACAAATACTACAAATCGGATGAACAATATATATAGCTATAGCTATATCTGAACCGATCTTCACCAAATTTGGCATACTAGCTTCTAGACTCAATTAAGTCGTATGTGCCAAATTCCATCCCATTTGGGCAAATATTAGACGTTTGATGCACAATAAAAGGTAAATCGGACGAAGTTATATATGACAGCTATATCCAAATCTGAACCGATCTCGATAAAATTTAGCAAAGATATTTCTGAGCTGCATTTGATATATTTCCCCAAATATTGTTGTTACAGAGTGGATATTACGGCTGCGGAGGACAAAAATAACAAATCGGATGAACAATATATATGGGAGCTATAGCTATATCTGAACCGATTTCGATCAAATTTGGCATACTTATTTTCAGGCCTAATTTGGTTGTATGTGCAAAATTCCATACTATTCGGGCTGATATTACACGTTTGGTGCACAATAAATGACAAATCGGACGAAGATATATATGGGAGCTATATCTAAATTTTTACCGATTATCTCCAATTTCAATAGGGTTCGTCCTTGGGCCAAACAAATGTTGTTTGGAAAATTTCATCTCAATCGGATAATAAATGCGAACTGCATTTTGTTCACAAGAATACATGGACAGACGGACGGACGGACAGACGGACTGACATGCATAAATCAACTTAGAAAGTGATTCTATGCAGATCATCAAAAGGAACTAAGGGTCTATCTCGTTTCCTTTTGCCTGTTACAAACAAATGCACAAAGACATAATACCCTGACCACCTTGTGGTGTAGGGTATAAAAAATCATTGGAAAATACAGCTCAAATGAAAACCGTTATATGAGGGCGGTACAAAGACGAGGTCCAGCATAAGCAATCTTTTGTCATAGGCGGAAGTACCGATTCCGAATTTCAAATAGAAAATTGAAACAATTCCTGGTAATGATGTGCCTAAAATCGTTGTATTGTACCTAAGGACCTATGTAGAAAAATCTCTTCCAAGGGGTAAAGTTTTCAGAAGAAACTCCTTTTGTGGGTTTTAAGACAATTCCATTGAAAAGTTTGGCTGCAATCATCAAAATACCAAATATCGGGAGGTATGAGGTATGAGGACATGGCTCGGTGGACTTAGAATTTTACGTGGTTCTAAAACGATTACTTCGATGATTTACAAACGGAAAGACAAACTTAATACACAGGGTGAGATGAAAAAACTGCAACCAACTGCAGACTGCTGTCATTTCTAGGCCACTCGTCCGACAGCTGTTAAAATTATTCCAGTGACAGCTCATTGTATAAAAGGCAAGCGTACAAAAGCATATTGGTGAGAATTTTTCAGAAAAAATGTTATTCGTGATGGAGTTCAAGCGTGATTTCTTTATATTTGGCTGGAAAACCACAAGTGGCTATCGTTAGAGCACTCCAACATTTAAATGTGAATAAATATTTTGTGTCCCGTACCATCGCTCGTTACCGTGATACTGGTAGCGTAGCCCGACGTCAAGGAAGTGGACGGAAGAAAACAGCAACATCAGCAGAACTGGTTCGAAAAGTAAAGAAGCGACTTGATCGAAATCCGCGTCGCAGTGGCCAAAAATTCCTCGTGAGCTGAACATATCGCAATATTCCATTCGGCAAATATTGAAAAATGAGCTCGAGGAAAAGCCATTGAAATTCCAAAAAATGCAAGAACTTACACCGCATCAGAAAGAAAATAGACTCAAATAAGCTTAAGAGTTGTTTCGCTTGGCCGAAAGCGGAAAACTGATGAATTTTGTTTTCTCCGATGAGAAAACATTCGTTGTCCAGCAGTTTGTAAACAAACAAAATGATCGTGTGCCAAAGAGGTCAGCGGAAAATGTGCACTTTTGGTTGGCCACCAGAACTCAAGTGCCGGCCATGGTAATGGTGTGGGCCGCCATAACAGCCAATGGTCGCTCTCCGCTCGTATTAATCGACCGCGGCATCAGAATAAATGCCGAATATTATTGCGAAAATATTCTGTATTAAAGCCTTGGGCACGCAATCGTTTTGGCCGCAGACCTTGGACATGGCAACGGGACTCATCATTGAACTCAGCACGCGCCACCCAAGAATAGTTACAAAATGAGGTACCTCGCTTCATTTCCAGCGCACACTGGCCACCAAAATGTCCGGATACCAATATCGTTGGACTATTGTGTCTGGAGTATTTTGGAAAACAAGGTTGGCACTAAAAATACCAAAGTGTCGATCACCTCAAACAAGCGCTTCGCCGGTAATGGGCCAAAATACCGCAGAGCAACATTTGAGCAGCGTCTTGAAGGCCATAATTCGTGTCAAAGGTGACCAATTCGAAGAAAGCTAAACTTATTCTAAAATTTGATGATATTTCCAACATTTTTTGCTTCCATTCAATAACATTTAAAAAAAATGTAAAAATTATGGTGATTGACTTTGTTGCAGTTTTTATATGTCATCATGTTCAAAGTGTTTCATATTTAGTAACTTTTATTACTTTCCGTACCTTATTTGACCCCTTCGGACCAGAGTGACCCTAACCCAAAATTTCAAGATTCCAGCATCAACCGTTTCGTCTGGGCGTTGACGAATCATTAACACATTAGTTTACTCGTTTATAAATATAGACGATTACCTCACATAAAAAAATCCAATATAAACGTTTATTTGTTGCGGGGAGATCTACCGTCTTCTATCAATGACCTTTTTATACCCTACACCACACAGTGGTAAGGGTATTATGTCTTTGTGCATTTGTTTTTAACATGGAGAAGGAAGCGAGATAGACCCATAGTTATTTTTGAGTATCTTCATAGAATCACTTTCTAAATCGATTTATGCATGTCGATTTATTCCATGTATTTTTGTGAACAAAAGGGAGGTCGCTTTTATTATCCGATTGAGATGAAATATTACAAACAAAGACGAACCCTTTTGAACTTGGTGAGAATCAGTTCAAATTTAGATATAGCTCATATGAGGATTGGTGGCTCTTTCCGAAACCTAGGTATTCCCTGCCTTACCCCCTAGAAAACATTACCATTGTTCTCCACTAATAAACAAAGTTTGTTTTTATAAAAAACAAACAACAATAAAGGGATTAAGCCTGATAAATTTGCAACAACAAAATACTATGGTATCCCTAACAAACAAGCCAACACTGTTCTATAGCTCACACAAATATCTTTAAACGAGTTCGGCCAATATCACTAAATGGCCATCAGATACCATTTCCGACCGAATTCAGCCTCAAAGCAAGCGCTTCAGATTTAGGTGAAAAGCGGGTCAGATATAGCTATAGCTCCCATATATATGTTTCATCCGATTTCATCCGTAATATGCACTCCTAAACAATGATATTTGATACCGGGCATCAGATACGACTCGAAAATACCTCTGCCAAAATTTTATCGATATAGGTTCAGAATTTTATATAACTTCGATAAACATCTCCATCCGATTTCACGGTTATTACTCACCCTATATGTGATATCAGCCCAAATTGAATAGATTTTTTATATTCAATCGAATTTTACCATTTGGTGGAACTCGGTTCGGTATATCTATTGCTTCAATAAATAGTTTTTAATATAATCCTTATCGAAGTCATATCATGCAATGTTATTTGGTTCATAGTTGTAATAGTATAAATTTTTTTTCGTACGGGAGCTCTACTAAATACCCATAGTGGCGTAGGGTTTCATAAAGTCGGCCCGCCCATCTTTTGACCTCTCCTTACTGTTTTAATTTTACTGATTTAAGCTATAATTGGCTCTTGGTCAAAATGTATTTGACAAATACAGTAATTGTAAATAGAACACTGAATCTCGATTCTTTACCTTTCTTCTACTTATTTTGAATTGATTTATTTTATATAATTGGGTATATATATATATATATATAATTTTAATATGTGTATTTCTATATTTCGAAAGTGAATAATGAATGCCTTGCCCTGTAATGACTTGTTATGTGTTGGAGAAATTGAAATGTGTCTGTGAACTTTGTAAGCAAGCTGTTGATATCTGAAAATATAAATAAGAGCAGAATAGATTATTTCGAAAATATAATAATTGAAAGTATAAATGTTTTTATTTTATGAAATTTAAATGATCTACTAAGAAATTTATGGATTTTTAGCCCACAGCCTTAAGGCCGTAATGACCCTTGGCCGTTACGATTGTGTGCGCACAATAATTCCAAAAAAGGCATTTGCTCCAAACATTAAATATACCAATACTAACATTAAACGAAAATAGACTTCCAAGATTGACAATATCGATACAAGCCCTAAGACTTCCACAAAAAGATATTGTTTGCCAAGAATTGCAGACTTTATTAAAAGCGGAAGTTTCTAAGCTACATGTGCAAAAATTGATAACATGAATCCACTTTTTTGGCTAACGATTTTAAATAATCCTAACTCTAATTCCAATCCAAATCTGATTTTGAAATATTTCATGACGATCACTCTTGGTGTGCAGAACTGAAATAAGGCATGAACTTAAGATCACTTATTGGGTAATCGGTAAAAAATAGAACAAATCTATTTTACTAAAATTCCCGGATTTTTTGGAAATGTTTTTCAGAGGAAGGTATATTTACCATGATCCCGGGGAAGTATTTTTTCTTGAGGGGCGGATCCGGATAGCCGGATATTTGACCCAAAAGTCCTGGCCCAAGACCCGGATTAGACCCGGACCTACAGATATGGGCAATATAGGTATCATTTTAAAGCCAATGAAAATACCTATCAAACAAGTGGTAGTACGAACTGTACGAAACGGTACTAAATTTAGTACAATTTTAATTTGGAGGAACGGATGGAGTTGAAATTCTGAAAAAACTGGCGGAGTGCAAAATTGGGATTAGGAGGAAGTTTTCGAAATTTGTACTTATGTGCACTAAAATTACTAAATGGTACAATTTCGATTTGGGTGAACCAACAGATTAGGAATTCTGAAATTTGGAAATAACATTACTATTGCATTGTATGACTGAGGTATGTAGGTATTTTTTAAAATTTATACTTATGTAAGATAAATGGTAGTAAATTTGGTACAATTTACATTTTGGATTCTACCGGTTCATCCAAAATGTAAATTGTTGGAATCCTGAAATTGAAAAATAAGACTTCCGTTTGGGCTGTATGATATAGGTAGTAAGTGAAAATTTGTACTTAAGTGTACTAAATGGTACAAAATTTGGATTTGGTGAACCTATAGAGCTGGAATTCTGAAATTGGGTAATGCGATTTCTACAGAATTGTATGATTGAGGTACGAAAGTAGTTTCGGAAATTTGGAGTATAGGATTGGGTTTTGAGGTAACTTTGGAAATTCGTACTTATGTGTACTACAGTTGGTACAATTTGGATTTGGAATTCCAAAATGTTATGTTAAGGTCACCGTTGGTGTCTGCAGTTAAGATATGGAGGTGGTTATCTAATTGTGTACTATAATTGTTCGAAAAGTACTAAATGGTACTAAATTGGGTACTGAGTGAAGAGAAAGAGTTGAAATCTTGAAATTTGATAAAGATATAACTGTTGGTGTCTGCGGTAAAGATTTGGAGGTGCTTTTGGAAATGTACACTTGAGTTGTTTGAAAAGTATTACGTGATACTATATTGGGTATTGGGTGAAGGGATGGAGCTGGAATCCCGAAGTTTGATATTGACATGACTCTTTGCATGTAGTTGTAAAATTTAGAAGAAATGTCAAAAGAATTTTAGTTAAATTTAATTCTTTGGTCCATATTCTATTGAGCTTACGATCTCGCCACTTGGGTAAAAAATGTGTCATAGGAGTTATTAAAAAAAAAACTCCTGGGGAGAATATCACCAGACAAAAACCAAAAGAATTGATGAGGATTGGTGGCTCTTTCAGAAACAATGTTTCCTACTCTACCCTTTGTTATTTCAAAATCTTGTAAATTAAAATCAATGTTATTAATATATCTACTTACCCATTCGCATTCCGCATATTTTCATGTGATTTATATTATCCGTGATATGCGGCCACTTTAGTAAATTTTTCAAAAATGAAACGTGCATTATTTCGCTCTCTTCGCCGTAGACGGCAAGCCTTAACTGCGGATTGTAGGTGACCAAATCCAACCAAAAGTGTTGTTTCGCTCTAAATATTCTATACGGTATGAGAATCCTTCGGAGTGTCGTTGAGGCACATGTCATTTCCTCGTTATCGAGTTCAATCTCCTCCTCTGTGAATATATTCAGCGATTGCAACGGCAAATTCTTCAGGAGAATCAAAAAGAATGGCCATGTCAAGCCATGCCAGCGGGTGAATGTCAAATGTTGCAGTGCATCCATTTTCAAAATAAAACGGCGGATGGTAAAGGGATTACAAATATGAAGTCTGCGTAGACTCGGACATTTACTTAAAATCCAATCATTCTCGAGGTCCTTGTTCAGCCACTTTATAGTGTGCACTTTGTTCATGCACTGAATGGAGTCACAAAACACTTTCTCGATATTACCAATGTAGGCTGCATCGATGGTTATGTCTTCCAACGACGATGAAGCGATGTTCAAATCTTCAATTACTCCCACAATTGGAGTTTGGATCAAATGCAGTGACTTCAAAGGTCTGTGACCTAGAATCTGCTGAAGATTGGTGGCATTGAAGCCATTGCATGAAAACAGAGATAAATGTTCCAATGTTTTAATGACACTACAATCGTCCACATGCAAGTGGCAGTGCTCCAGGACCAGTGTTTGTAATTTGTAACAGTTGAAGGACAAGACTTGGAACACTACCGAATTCAATCGAATATTTGTGTCCACAGTGTTGATGGTGAGAGAGACTAGGTTGCCATAACCTCCCAGTTGATGTTTGAAGTTTGGCCAATACTCATGCGAAATGTTTCCAACATTGAGATGCGCCATGCAGCAGCCATTGTTCAGCGGCACCAAGCCACTGCATTTGCTCACAATTCGAATGTTTCTCAAAATTAAAGCACTTAGATTTAGTTTATTGATCATCTCATGTAGAACATCCTCCTCCAATTCTGGCCGTCCCGATGGTGGTGTATCACTTTGTACCACCAGCTCTCGAAGTTGGACCATTTGAGACAATTGTCTAATGTCCAAATTATAGCCAGGCACCAGCGACTCCAATTCATCGCACTGGCATTCAATGAACTTCAGTTTGCGTAAATTCCGACAATTCGTGGCCAGCAGAGCCAACTGGTCATTGGTCACCACAATATTATTGAAGGTCAGCGAGCAGAGATTGGTGAACATGTGAACATTACAAAATGCCACACCCAAGTTCTTCTGAAATGTAAAGTACTCCGAACAGAGATTCAGGTGTTCAACGTAGGTTGCGATTTTTTTGAGAAAGTCCTTCAACTTATCGTACGACAATGGTATTTTAAATTCCAACAGATTCTGCAACTCTTCCTCCTTGGCTTCCACCATCTTGTCTGAAACTTCATCGGGTTTTGGAGAATTGCAGATAATGGCAATGTTCGGTGATTTGTGGATTGATAAATGTCGATATTGTTTTACCCACAACCGTTTCGTAATAATCTCATGAAAATTTTTGCACAACGCGGAACATTGGATTTGTTCCCCCAAAGTGAGGTATTGGAGTATACGCTCCACAATGACAGAGTTCTGCAACAGTTTCTTTCTGCTATCCATTCTAAAAGCTGCTGCCAGTTTTTTCTTGCTTTTTTGCTTCGTTAAAACTTTCCGTTAAATGCGATTCTAGCTGTCCGTTTGAAGAGAACGCAACAACTGTGACTGTTTGTATTTAAATTCAAACCTCAGAGAACCGCAAAACGATTTCAAAAAGTATTTATGTTTTATACCAAACCGCAAAAGCCCATTTAGTTATGCTGCAAATATATCGACCACGACACTGTAGGAATTATGTCTTTATACCCTACAACAAAAATAATTTAACAACCCAAAATATTGGTCCAAGAAATAGGAAACTATTTATGGATCTTCCTATCTCACCGAGCTGAGTATATCTAGCTATGTAAATCACTTTACAGGTCGCAATTGTGGTCCAAAATCTAGCACGGTGGTGGGGTGATGGTTAAAATATATGCCTACTGTTTTTCAAGATCCAAACCAAAAGATCTGAACCAAAAACAGACAATTTTCCAGATCTAACAGCTTATGGCTAGAATTTAGGGTTGGGCAGAATCCTACCACTTAGATTGGTAATTGAACAATATTTAGCGGGTAAAACATACTGACTGATTTTGACAATTCTTACAAATTCGGAATGGCTTCATGCCAGAAAAGAATAAAAAAGAAACAGTTAGGAAAGTTCAAAAGTCGGGCGGGTGCATGATGTCCTACACCACCGTGCGTATGCGCAGTATCTGACGTCCTGTGTCAAATATCATTGTTGTAGAGTGCATATTACGCATGTGAGGGACTTTATCATCAGCGCGATTGTCTTCAAATTATACACATCGCAAATTATACACATCCAAGGTCCGTTGTGAAGATGGTAGAGATCGGTCCACTTCTTCTGGTACCTCCCTCACAAAAGAGTCAAAATTTTGAATATCAATAAAACTTAAAAAACGCGAAATTGACATCCGATTCCATTTAGACTTGCCACATCTCAATACTTCTATCAACAAAAGATCAGTTATAAAGATGGTAGAGATCTTCAATGCTACTACTCCTATAAAATGTGAAATAAGATTCCGATTCTCTTCAAATTAAACAATATTTTGTCAATATTTCAATTGACAAAATATCGATTTTGAAAATTTGATATATCGATCCATTCGTTAAGATATTCCATCTTTGAATAGAATCGCTGTTACGCAAGTCATGAGAGATATAAGTATTTTAAATTTTGACTCTTTGTAGGGGAGGTACCAGAAGGGGAAGGCCGATATCTATTATCTTCACGTCAGATTTTATGTAAATAAAAATATTGGGATGTTTCACATTTGAAGATAATCTGATGCTTATTTCGAATTTGATGAGAGATATAACTACTCAAAACTTTGAACTGTTTTGGGGGAGGTACGAGAAGATGTGGTCCGATAATCTCCATTTTCACACCTGATCTTGTATTGCTAGAAATATTGAGATGCGCCGAGTATGAAAATAATTGGATGCTAATTTTCGTTTTATGGGCTTCATAAGTGAATCGATATCTGTCATTATACCCTACAAAACTATGTGTTGGGGGTATTATAAGTTTGATTGGGCCATAAATTAAGTAACACCTCGGAATATTGGTTTCCCATATAGGAAAGTATATATGGATCATCCTATCTCGCCGAGCTGAGTCAATCTAGCTATATATTTCCGTCTGTCCGTGTGTCCATCTTAAATTGTAATCAAGCTACAGGTCGCAATTATGAACCGATCCTCACGAAATTGAAAATAGAGGTGGGGTTAGGGTCAGAATAGAACCCTATTATTTTTGGAGATGATCGCAAAATATTTAGGGGTTAAAATGGACCAACAGAACCAACCCACGAAAATTTACATGGAGTTAGAGTTTGTGACTGGACAGAAACCTACCAATTTGGGCGGCCATCGGACAATAATTAGCGGGTAAAATAGACCCTAACTTTTATGTAAGAAAATAGGAAAATTTCCACTAAACCGCGAATATTTTTAATCCCAGCCAAATCACAAATACATTAAAAGATCACTTCTGACCATTAAAGTGATGCTAATAGCCAAGAAATCGGATATATAGCAAAATAGGTACAATATATATGTAATAAAATTGATCATATTTTCTCTGCTTATAAATCAAGAAACGCTGGACCGAATTTCACAGTTCCCATCAATTCGGAATGGTCTTTTGCCAGAAAAGAATAAAATCTAAGAAAATCGCGGGAAAACATACCAATAAAAACGTGAATATCTTTTGTCGAATTTTTTCAATTTATGTCAATTTTTTTTATCGCATGCGATTTTTTCAATTTGACTTACAATTTTGAATTGTAAATTTTCTAAATTTTTAAACCCCCAACACTATGTTTTGAGGGTATGATATGCATGTCGCAATTATCGTCCAATCCTCATGAAATTTTGAATGGAGGTAGGGTCGGAATTGAAGCCTATTGTTCTTAGGATGTACATTTAGAAGTTCAAATGGACTAAAAAAATGTAATTTTTTTATTCGACACGGAATTTCGCATCAGAAGAGAGTTGAGGACAGGGAAGAAGTCTAGCATTTTAGATGACCATTGGATTATATTTAGCTGTAAAATGGACCACAACTTTCGTGTGCAATTGTTTTGAATACTTAACAACACTACGAAGTTCGTAAATATTTGCGATGAGATGTGTGAAATTTGAATAGAATTTCGCATTTTATGAGATTTATAATTATAAAATTATTGAGATTTAATATAAATCTTGTTCATTTTCGCACCTGACAGCACTGAGAAAAAATATTTGGATTTGCAAAGTTTGCACAAAATTAAATGATCCTACCTTGGTCTATAAGATAAATTATTTTCTATGAGATAAATTATCTTTTGTGTGGGTGGTACCAGATGAAGTGGACGATGTAACAAGTTTGAATCAATTCGGATACTTCCTTCGATAGTTATTGTGCTCACCTACCAGACAAACGGATTGACTCGAAATGTCCTGAAACAGATTCGGTCCAAAGAGAAGAAGATCTAAAATGTCGTTTTATTTGTATTCAATGATAATACTCTCTGTAACTATATGATAAACAAGCTTTGCCATAAAACATTGCCTTGCATAAAAAATGAGTTTCTTTTTAGTATTGCTTCCCAACCTCGTTTATAAAGGTGCCATACTTACCCATACTTACCACATTATCTACCCTCATTGCGCCCAACGCACTCTTGCCCTACCACAACAATTTATGACATACACATAATTTCAAGTTTTTACACAATATATTCTCGAACAAAATTCACAATGTTCTCGTACTTTTGAAGGACTCTTATCCCTGGCCGAACGTTGCCGGGCAATCAATCTCATGTCCCTCTGTCCGAATGTTTCACTCTCTTTTTTCAAATTACTAGCAAAATATAGATCTGTATATGACTTGGTTATGCCAAATGGGGATGAACGGGGTGTTGAGAGAAATGAAGAGGTGTTTCGTACCGGTGGGTGTGGTTGTGGCTGGTGAGAACCCAGATGATCGGCCTGCTGGGGCATTCTCAGTTCCAATGATGATCTATACGAACGTATTTGTCCGGGATACTTGGCTAGACTGGATAAAGAAGTAGTGGAAGATTCACGGGTTAATGAAGAATTGTCTAGACTTGGTGTTGGTGGTGGTGGCGAATAGTGCATGGCGTCCGATGGCATACTACTGCCACCTGCCAGCAATTGCATAGATTGCGTTTGAGGCTGTTTGGATTTCATTTCATATGGCTGTTCGTACTGCAGCTGCCACAGTGGTTCCAATACCAGCTGGAAATTATTCGAACCTACCGACGAGTGCTTTGATCTCATTTCTGAGTGAGATTTAACACTCGCATGTGCATGTGTGGGCGTTTGAGTGCCAGAGGAGGGCGATAGACGATAAGCATTGGCGTGGACTTTACTTGGATTATAGGCTAGGTTGTGATAAGAACTTACACTGCTGGTGCCACGCTCATGGACTCGCGACCTTTGAGGATTATAGTCAAACTTGCGTCCGCTGCCACGTCGAGTTGAACTGCCGTTAACGTTACGCTGACTGGCTGATGTGGGTCGATGGTGGGTTTGACGGATTACACTACGGCCGTGGCGAGCACTGGATCGACGAGTGGGACTCTTTCTACCCCAGCCCGAATTAGTATCACTGCTGTCATCATCATGACGACCATGCAGAGGTTTCTCCCGAATTGGTGCCGCGCCAACATGTCCGCCATAACCATTGAATTTCGTTAAAGTACCGCCACGCCGAAGCGCATCTTGGGGATTGAATTTTCTAAACTTGGCCAGCATATCGGCATATTTTTCCCACTCGGTGGTACCGGGACGTTTTTCTTCGAGTAGCTTTCGTACCAGTTTCTGTTGGCGAGCCTTTTCGGCGGCAATTCTTTCATTGCGTTTGGCCAATTTGGCCTTTTGTGCCAGGGCGGCCTGATCAATCGTTGCCTCCTTGGCTGTCCCTTGGCTGTGTTCAGGAATTGTCCCACCATCGGTTTGATTCAATTGCAAAGCCGAGGCAGTACTGGCAGCTATTGCTGTAGCTATTGATGTGGCCGAAGCGATCGGCAGTGGTGTTAGGCTAATTATAACAGTTCGGAAAGGGGGAGGGGTGTTTATTGGTGTTGAAAAGAACTAATTTGTTACTAGAAAACTTCAGCAAATTGTTACGCTTCTAAATCAAGGGGTGTGAATTCGGGTGTGACTTCTACATATGTATGTATTTACAATTAACTGAGTGGTATTCGTCAACAACTACACATTGTTGCTACTTAGAGCTGGTACAGGTTAATTTGGTGCCGCGTGGGGGATCATCTCCGTATCGTTTGTCGTATGTCTTCCCGTACAAAGATATGGCAAGGTTGTGTTGATCCTATACATTGTGTGGTTAATTAAAAACGTATTTACAATAATGGTAATTTGTAATAAAAAATTTATTTAATTAATTTTAAAAAGTTGATTAGAATATGTACATGGTATTCACTTAAAAACTAAGAATATATAATTTTAGTGTAATTAAAAAAATAATCAACTTTAAGCAGATCACACACTACGCAACATATTGCAAATTTATTATATAATTTACTGCTGTAAGTATTTCAATAAAGTTCATTAACAGGACGAGAATAGCTATAGTCGACGTGTCCGACAATGTGATACCCTCAACCACCACAAATAGCAAATAAGTGTGTTCGAGTGCCAAAACGATGCCATGGACAGTAAACTATTATAATGGAAAGAGAGAGAGAGAGATTGCAGAGCCTGCAATATATTTCTATATTGCACTATTTTTATAATTTTTACTTTAACACCATTCCCATAAAAATTGGAGGCAAAATGAAAAAGGATACTTATTTTCAGGCCTAATTTGGTCGTATGTGCGAAATTCCATACAATTTGGGCTGATATTACACGTTTGGTGCACAAAAAAGGCAAATCGGACGAAGATATATATGGGAGATATATCTAAATTTTGTCCGATTATCTCCAATTTCAATAGGGTTCGTCCTTGGGTCAAAAAAATATTTCCGTAAAATTTCATCTGGATCGGGCAATAAATGCGACCTGTACTTGTTTACAAAAATACATGGACAGACGGACGGTCGGACATGCATAAATCGACTCAGAATGTGATTCTATGCAGATCATCAAAAACAAATATGGGTCTATCTGGTGCCTGTTACAAATAAATGCACAAGGACATAACTCCCTGATCACCTTGTGGTATAGGGTATAAATAACTAATGGATAAACAATAGCATTGTTGCATCCAAATCCACAATGGAAACCCTATATATACCTTACACCACGTAGTGGTAAGTGTATTATGTCTTTGTGCATTTGCTTGTCACATAGAGAAGGATCGAGATAGACCCATAACTACTTTTCAGGATCTTCATAGAAACACTTTCGGAGTTGGTTTGTGCATGCCAGTCCGCCCGTTCGCCTGCCCATGTATTTTTGTAACAAACTGCAGGTCGCTTTTATCACCCATTGAAATGAAAATTTCCAAACCTTATTATATTCGAGGACGAACCCTACTGAAATTGGTGAGAACCGGTTCAAATTTAGATATATATATCTTCAAACGATTTCGGGTTAATTGGGCATAAAATGGCTAATATCAGTGCAAATGACCTGAATTTTAGGACATCCAACCGAATTCAGTCTAGAAGCAACTCATTAAATTTTGTGAAAATCGGTTGAAGTATATAGCTATAGCTCCAATGTTCATGCTTCATCCAATTTGGGTTTTAAGTCTCTCACATTCGTAATATGTACTCCACAAGCATGATATTTGGTACCAGATATCAGATACAGTCCAGAAATACCTCTGTCAAATTTTATCAAGATCGGTTCAGATTTGGTTATAGCTCCTATATATATATATATATATATATATATATATATATATATATATATATATATATATATATATATATACATATTAATCCGATTTCAAGTTTATTGTGTACCAAATGACGAGTATTAGTCCAAATGGAAAGAATTTTGGCACTACCGACCGAATTTAGTCTAAAAGCAAATAAATCAAATTTGGTGAAAATCGGTTCAGATATGGCTATAACTTCCATATAGATGTTTCATTCGAGTTGATGGTTAAATCCCCCACTTTCGTAATATGCACTCCTCAACAATGATATTTGATACCGATCATCAGATTCAGCTTAACGGAACTTTTTAATTAAAAGTTGAGTTTAATTAAAAGTTGAGTTTAATTAAAAGTAGTACAAAATTTTCAGACTTTCAAGGTTATATATATATTAGAACAGTGTTGGCTTGTTTGTTCGGGATACCATAGTATTTTGTTATTGCAAAATGATCAGGTTTAATCCCTTTATTGTTGTTTTTTATAAAAACAACATTTGTTTATTAGTGGAGAACGGTGGTAATATTTACCAGGGGATAAGGCAGGGAATACCTTGGTTTCGGAAAGATCAACCAATCCTCATCAGTCCCCTTGTTTTTTGTCTGGGAAATTCTCCCCAGAAGTTTTTTTAAAAATAACTTCTATGAAAAAAAAACCAGTAAAGAAAGTCCTAAAGTCGGGCGGGGCCGATTTTATGATACCCTACACCACTTTACTAATTTAGTAGAGATGCGCATAACAATTAAAAGCTCTTTATGGGAGAATTCTGAACCGATCTCGATAAAATTTAGTGAAGATATTTCTGAGCTGTATTTGATTTATTTCCCTGAATATCGTTGTTACGGAGTGCATATTACAGCTGTGGATAACAAATACAACAAATCGGATGAACAATACATATGGGAGCTATAGCTATATCTGAACCGATTTCGATTAAATTTGGCACACTCATTTTCAGGCCTAATTTGGTTGTATGTGCAAAATTCCATACTATTCGGGCTGATATTACACGTTTGGTGCACAATAAATAGCAAATCGGACGAAGATATATGTGAGAGCTATATCTAAATTTTTACCGATTATCTCCAATTTCAATAGGGTTCGTCCTTGGGCCAAACAAATGTTGTTTGGAAAATTTCATCTCAATCGGATAATAAATGCGATCTGCATTTTGTTCACAAGAATACATGGACAGACGGACGGACGGATAGACGGACTGACGGACTGACATGCATAAATCAACTCAGAAAGTGATTCTATGCAGATCATCAAAAGGAACTATGGGTCTATCTCGTTTCCTTTTGCCTGTTACAAACAAATGCACAAAGACATAATACCATGACCACCTTGTGGTGTAGGGTATAAAAAACAAGCAAAAAAACATTAAGTTCGGCCGGACCAAACTTTTAATACCCTCCACCTTAGCGTAAAGGAAACATTAGAAGAAATGTGGTAAAAACCATTAAAATGTCAAATATCGGGAGGTACCTTTATATGGGGGCTATACCAAATCGTGGACCTATACATGCAATGTTTCTCCAAAGGAGCTAGAACCCATTATGACCTACAAATACCAATTTTCAGACAAATCCGTGAAAAAATGTGGCAAAAATCATCAAATTATTGAATATCGGGAGGTACCGTTATATGGGGACTATATCAAAACGTGGACCTATACATACAATGTTTCGCCATACGAACTAGGACCCATTATGTCACACAAATATCAATTTTTAGACAAATCAGTGAAAAAATGTGGCAAAAATCATCAAATTATTGAATATGGGGAGGTACCGTTATATGGGCGCTATACCAAATCATGGACTCATACATGCAATGTTTCACCACCGAAGCTGGAACCCATTACGACCAACAAATACCAATTTTTAGACAAATCCGTGAAAAAATGTATCAAAAAAAATTAAATAACCGAATATCAGGAGGTACCTTTATATGGGGGCTATACCAAAACATGGACCTATACATGTAATGTTTTGCCACACGCACAAATACCAATTTTCATACAAATCCGTGAAAAAATGTGGCATAAATCATCAAAATACCGAATATCGGGAGGAACCGTTATACGGGGACTATACCAGAACGTGGACCGATATATCTCATACTAGACACAATACAAGTTGCTCTTCTAAATTTTGGCGCTCTACGTCAAATAGTGTGGGCTGTATTGCAATTTCATCAGACAGACAGATGGACATTGTTAAATCGACTTAGAATTTTATGCTGATTATGAATGTATATACTTTATGGGGTCTACGACGAATATTTAAGGATGTTACAAACGGAATGACCAAGTTAATATACCCTCCTTATCCAAGTGGCGAGATCGCAAGCTCAATAGAAGGGGAACCAAAGAATTAAATAAAACAAAAATTCTTTTGGAAAAATCTTCTAAATCTTATAACCGCACTTATAAACATTTTCATCTTTCTCCACTTCTTATGCTTTCTCCACTTCTTATGCTTTTGTCTGTGACAACAAAAACCCCTTCGTCGATCGTGCCTTGTCTATTAATAGAACAGTGTTGGTTTGTTTGTTCGGGATACCATAGTATTTTGTTGTTGCATTATTATCTTTAAAATTGTGGCTTACATCTGTAAAATACCAAATATCGGAAGGAACAATTATATGGGGGCTGTTCAAAAACTGGAATATGCATATACACATTTCTGCGATGGAGAGTGGCACCCACTACTAACTTCAAATACCATCTTTGAAATGAAACATGTTGCTTAAATCATCAGACTGTCTAATACCGAGAGGTATATGTGGTTTATGCCTCAACTTGGAACTGATGGAGTTTTATGCAAAAATGATTTCCGCCCACTGAACTCCAGAATTATAGCGTGATGAATTTTTTACTCATGAACCTGAAGTACATCGTGAACAATGGCTTATATCAATTTGTAGTTTGTGAAGCTTATTTTTGAGATGACTTCTTAAATTTTCTTTCTTTCTTTTTAAACATATTTTGCTCCTTTAAGTCGATTATTTATAAAATATTCAAGAAAAAATTCTCATTCTATTTGGGTGAAGACATGCATCTCAAAAGAAGCTACACAAGCTGCAATTATTTTGTGTCGCAGTGCAATCAATTAACGAATATTCCTTTTTTTTGATATGTTGATATGTTTTGTAGAAATTGTATATGTTGGCGATGGCGATTTTGTGTACTTGACATATTCTTATTTCAACGACAATGAAATAATTATCAAATGTAATATTTCATTTAAAAAAATGGTAGTAATGAATACACACAAAAATGCTTGTAAAAACGTATTTGAAAAACTAATTTGCTAATATTTTGCTGTAACTAATTTCATTATTAGTTTAACCACAAATGTTTGTAATATATATGGTTTGCATCCGCAGGTAAACTCGAGATACCATCCACTTTTTTCGACTGAACAAAAAAAAAAAACATTTGTTATGAATTTATAATTAAATCAGGCAATAAGAACTTCCATGTACATGTGAAATTTGAAAATGGAAATAAAAACAGAACATGATAGGGATTTTTGATAATTGCTATCATTGTAAAGAAGGGCTAGGCAGATAAATTCAAAATTACTTTGTAATTGTATGTGTGTTTGAAATAAAACAATACACTGCTGCGAGCAAAGAGCCATGTGTACCTGTTGCTACCACTTTATTTTATAGACAATTGTACCGTTACATGGTGGTGAAGAGGTGGACCTACATGGGCCATTTTCTGTTTTATGCTGTTGTTTCCATTACGAACTTCAAATACCAAATTTGAAACAATTCCGGTAAATAATGTCGCTAAAGTCATCAAAATATCGAATATCGGGGGGTACCGTTATATGGGGGCTATACGAAGACGTGGACCTACATGGCTCATTTTCTGTCCCAGGATGTGGTATCCATTATGAACTTCAAATACCAAAATTGAAATAATTCCGGTAAATAATGTCGCTAAAAGGATCAAAATACCGAATATCGGGGGTACCGTTATATTTAAATATAATTTAAATAAACGTCTATATTTATACCTTCCGCCATACTTAGTATGGAGGGTATATTAAATTCGTTATTCCGTTTGTAACCCATCGAAGTAATAACTTTAGACGTAACAAAGTATTAATATTTTTGATCAGCGTAAAATTCCAAGACGATTTACGTACGTCACGCTAGAATCAAAACGAATTAAGATAGGAAGCTAACATTTTGCAGAGATCAGTCTTTTGTCTGCATGCTGATGAATTTCGAAAATATATCGGTCCACGATATCGTACAGACCCCATACAACGATACTCCACCTCCCTCAACCTACAATATTCGCCATTTTGATGATTTCAATGCAATTATCTGAAATTCTACACAAGAAATTCCTTCAGAGTACTCCACCCCCTGAAAGGGAGCCGTCTATATAGGTCCACCACATCGTATATCCCCCATATAACGGTACTTCCCTATATTCGGTATTTTGAAGATTTTAGCCAAAATTTTCAATGGAATTGTCCTTACAAAGAGCTCCTTCTCAGTTTTTTCCCCTTAAAGATAATTTTCTATATATGTCCACTATATTGTATAGCCTCCATACAACGGTTCCTCTGAATATTTGGTATTTTGATAATTTTAGCCACATTTTGCAATGAAATTGTCCAGAATTCTACCCAAGTAGTTCTTTGTGAGCACTTTACCCCCTGAAAGACAATATTCACCGGAATTGTTCCAAATTTCATCCGATTTGGTGTTTAAATCCCTTACGTAATATTTACTCCTCAACAATGATATTTGGTACCAGCTATCAGATACAGCTCAGAAATACCTCGATCGATATCGGCTCAGATTTGGATATAACTCCCACATATATTTCCCGCCGATTTCATGTTTATTGTGCTCCAAAGTGTTGTATCAGCCAAATGAGATGGATTTTGGCACACCGACCGAATTTAGTCTAGAATTAACCAGTAAAGAAAGTCCTTAAGTCGGGCGGGCCGACTTTTTGATACCCTACACCACTTTGCTAATTTAGTAAAGCTCCACGTAACAATTAAAAGTTTTTGTAGGAGAATTCAATCATACACGCTATGATTATAATTATAATTTAAAGTTCAAAGGACTAAATATGCCGAAGCATTTGTATCTTATAAATTCGGACTTGTATTGCCCATTTGATGCAAAATTAATTTGAAATCAGATAAATATTCAAATCTGAACCGATCTCGATAAAATTTGGCAAATATATTTCTGAGCTGTATTTGATATATCTTCCTGAATATCGTTGTTACGGAGTGCATATTACGGCTATGGGTAACAAATATAATAAATCGGATGAACAGTATTTATGGGAGCTATAGCTATATCTGAACCGATCTTTACCAAATTTGACGTACTAGCTTCTGGACTCAATTCGGTCGTAAATGCCAAATGTCATCCCATTTGATCAAATATTAGACGTTTGGTGCACAATAAAAAGTAAATCGGATGAAGTTATATATGGGAGCTATATCCAAATCTGAACCGATCTCGATAAAATTTAGCAAAGTTATTTCTGAGCTGTATTTGATATATTTCCCCAAATATTGTTGTTACAGAGTCCATATTACGGCTGCGGAGGACAAAAATAACAAATCGGATGAACAATATATATGGGAGCTATGGCTATATCTGAACCGATTTCGATCAAATTTGGCATACTTATTTTCAGGCCAAATTAAGTTGTATGTGCAAAATTCCATACTATTCGGGCTGATATTACACGTTTGGTGCACAATAAATAGCAAATCGGACGAAGATATATATGGGAGCTATATCTAAATTTTTACCGATTATCTCCAATTTCAATAGGGTTCGTTCTTGGGCCAAACAATTGATTTTTGCAAAATTTCATCTAAATCGGATAATAAATGCGACCTGCATTTTGTTCACAAGAATACATGGACAGACGGACGGACGGACGGACTGACATGCATAAATCAACTCAGAAAGTGATTCTATGCAGATCCTCAAAAGTAACTATGGGTCTATCTCGCTTCCTTCTCCATGTTACAAACAACAGCACAAAGACATAATACCCTTACCAATATGTGGTGTAGGGTATAAAAACGTCAAATATTGTGACAATTGATTTTACTTTAAGTTTTCTCAGCGGTATCCGATGATATTTTAATTGTTTATTACTTAATATGTATAGTAATGTAGGGTATCATAAAGTATCCGCCCGTCATCTGTCCTTTCTTTAGTGGTTTAGTTGCAATTTGACACAAATTAATAGAACAGTATTTTAAGTTTACGAAGCACTTAAATACTTGAAATCATGATGAATCTTGCGCAGAGATCTGGCACTGATATCTGGTGACGTCTTTGCAAATAATTTTCTATGCAGTTTTTATTCAGCAAGTTGATTTTTGATCGATAACTGCGTTTTTTTCCAAAATTGAGTTTTTTTGAGATGTGACACTCTTTGAAGTGTTATTTGCTACTCGATATTTTGAAGTTTCTGGTGAGTTGACGACTCATCTCGTAGTGGTTCAAGGTATTCCAAACGATAAAATAGTGCTAGGGCAATAATAATATTTTAAAAAAGATTACATCTATAATCTAATATATTTTGCTCAGCAAACTTTGCTGTTCTCGTATAAACATTTAAGCTAAACTAAAATAAATATATATTTTTTACTAATCTATGTATGTATGAATGTATGCACATATAAGTGCATGTCGATGGTAGTAAACTACTCAAACATATTTCTAAAAAAAATGTTATTACTTTGATGATGTCAAAGAAAGGAAAAAGAAAAAAATTATAGAACGTCAATATCGAAATAAAAACAAAAAGTGAGCAAACCTTTCAATAAAGGACTAAATTTAATGAAAAGTTCGCTCACAAACACACACACAAATACACATAAACATTACACATTTAAACACCGAGCGCCAATGGTGGGTGAATGCGACACAAACAGACAATCAGGGGGAGAGTTCTAATCAACCTACTCACTGCATGGCACTGGAATTGTTGATGTCAGTCGTATTGCTCGGTAGGGAGGTTATCGTGTTGGAGGTCTGTAGGGCAGAGGATAATGTGTCTGCTGGCGTCACATTCGGTGGGTCATTGGCCGAGTGAACGATGTCGTTGACCGATGGTTTTTTCTGCATCACTTCATGGCTGAGGTTCTCCAACTCAGATATTGTGGGTTTCGGTGTCGGTGGATTGTCTTCGTCATCTTCGCCATTTTGGGCTTTCGTATTCGCCAATGCTCTTTCGATTTCCGATTCCGGTGTCGAGGTTCTCAAGCTGTCCGTTTCAGTATCAGTTCGTTTCATTCCTGTCATATCCGTCGTCTTCGCAATCGCCTCTGTGTCGCTGAGTTTTTTCAATTCTTTTTCCGTTGTTTTGAGTGCCTCCTGTTTTGTTGCCTCCGCTGTGGCTTCAATGTCATCGTGGGGTTTAGCTGCTGCATTTGGATTTAAATTTAATTTTCCCAATAATGAGTTCTTGGCATCATCTAAATCATGAACTTTCTCCTTGAGTGTTGTTTCCACTTCATGTTTAACCTCTTCCACTTTTGTGGACACTGTTTCTTTGGCTGTTTCCAAGGTCTTGCCGACGGTCTGTTTGACACCTGTGGGAAGAATAGAAATGTTGTTTTTATTAGCAGAGTTATAGAAGAAAAAACTTATAATACCCCCAACACATAGTGTTGTGGGGTATAAAAATGTAGTGGTATGGTTATTATTGTGTTTTTCAAAAACAATATTTTCTTTATCCAACTTCTATAGACGACAGAAAAGGAGAGTTAAACCAGTAAGGAAAGTCTTAAAGTCGTGCGGGGCCGACTTTATGATACCCTACACCACTTTGCTAATTTAGTAGAGCTCCGCATAACAATTAAAAGTTCATATACGCTATGATTATAATTTAAAGTTCAAAGTACTGAATATGCCGAAGCATTTGTATCTTTTAAATTTGGACTTGTACTACTCATTTGGTGCACAATTAATTTGAAATCGGATAAAAATATATATAAATTTGGCAAATATATTTCTGAGCTGTATTTGATATATTTCCCTGAATATCGTTGTTACGGGGTGCATACTACCAATGTGGGTAACAAATATGACAAATCGGATGAACAGTATATATGGAAGCTATAGCTATATCTGAACCGATCTTCACCAAATTTGGCATACTAGCTTCTAGACTCAATTCGGTCGTAAGTGCCAAATTCCATACCATTCGGACAAATATTAGAGGTTTGGTGCACAATAAAAATAAATCGGATGAAGTTATATATGGGAGCTATATCCAAATCTGAACCGATCTCGATAAAATTTAGCAAATGTATTTTTGAGCTGTATTTGATATATTTTCCAAAATATTGTTGTTACGGATTGCATATTACGGCTGCGTAGGACAAAAATAACAAATCGGATGAAAAATATATATTAGAGCTATAGCTATATCTGAACCGATTTCGATAAAATTTGGCATACTTATTTTCAGGCCTAATTTAGTTGTATGTGCATAATTCCACACTATTCGGGCTAATATTACACGTTTGGTGCACAACAAAGGCAAATCGGACGAAGATATATATGGGAGCTATATCTAAATTTTGACCGATTATCTCCAATTTCAATAGGGATCGTCCTTGGGCCAAACAAATGATTTGTGTAAAATTTCATCTGGATAGGACAATAAATGCGAGCTGTACTTTGTTTACAAAAATACATGGACAGACGGACGGGCTCATAATGTGATTCTATGCATATCATCAAAAGGAACTATGGGTCTATCTCGTTTCCTTTTGCCTGTTACAAACAAATGCACAAAGACATAATACCCTGACCACCTTGTGGTGTCTTCTATCTATATCTATAAAAGAGGAAAATGTTTGTATGTTTGTTTGTTTGTTTGTAATTTATGGACTCGAAAACCGCTGAATAGATTTTCCTGAAAATTTCCATATATACTGCAACATCGCCTGAAAGTAACATAGGCTATATACATTTTTGAATTTCTACTTGGAACTGGAGATATAGCATCAGAATCGGAGGTACCTCCCAAAAATTTAGATTTTATATGCACATATCTATTGATTGGTTGAAGATACAGTCTCCAAATTTGGAATACGTAACGGAATTTGGAACAAAAATAACTTTGTCAAATTATATTGTAATCGGTTCAGATTTGGATATAGCTCCCATATATATTTTCAACCGATTTCGTTCATTTTATGCCTCAAACACAATATGAATGTTCGATTCCAATGAAATTTGGAATGTGTGACGGGATTTAATCCGAAAATAAATTTGTCAAATTATATTGAAATCGGTTCAGATTTGGATATAGCTCCCATATATATTTTCGGCCGATTTCAAGCATTTGATGCACCAAACACGCTATGTATCCCCAATTTTAATGAAATTTGAAACGTGTGATAGATTTTATCTAAAAAATTAATTTCCCAAATTATATTGAAATCGGTTCAGATTTGGATATAGCTCCCATATACATTTTCGGCCGATTTCATGTATTTGGTCTACCAAACACGACATGTATTTCCAATTGTAATGAAATTTAAAATAAGTAACGGAATTGGGAGCCAAAATGAATTTGTCAAATTAAATTGAAATCGTTTTAGATTTGGATATAGCTCCCATATATATTTTCGACCGATTTCATGTATTTGATGCACCAAACACGCTATGTATCTCTAATTTCAATGAAATTTGGAATGTGTAGCGGAAATTAAAACAAATATACATTTGTCAAATTATATTAAAATCGGTTCAGATTTGGATATAGCTCTCATATATATCTTCGACCGATTTCATGTATTTTATGCACCATACACGATATGTATGTTCGATTCCAAAGAAATTTGGAATATGTAACGGGATTTTGATTAGAAAATAAATTAGTCAAATTATATTAAAATCGGTTCAGATTTGCATATATTTTCCGCCGATTTCACATATTTGATGCACAAAACACGATACGTATTTCCGATTCCAACGAAATTCGGCATGAGTGGCTAAATTTGGTACAAAAATAAATTTGACAAATTGTATTCAAATACGCTCAGATGTGATTATAGCTCCCATACATATACTCAGCCGATTTCACATATTTGATGCACCCAAAGCGAGAGAGACAAAATCTGGCACCAGCAAAAATTGCCAAATTATATTGAAATCAGTTGAGGTTTGGATATAGCTAACATATATATTTCGGCCGATTTCATACATATTATGCACCAAACACGATATATATGACCGATTCCAATGAAATTCAGAATGTGTGGCGGAATTTGGTTATAATAATTAATGTGATAAATTAATTGGAAATTAGTTAAGATTTGGATATAGCTCCCATATATATATTCTCGGCCGATTTCACATATTTGACGCACCAATTTCAATTAAATATGAAAGGTGTGGCGGAGTTTGGTGTAAAAGTAATTTCTTTAAAATTATATTTAAATCGGATCAGATTGGGATATGATTTTAATAAGAACCATTGACCCACAACGCCTTAGGCTAACACTAAAAAACAACACAATAATTAATTTGAAATACGCTTATTATGGGGAAGTATGTTGCTACCTCGAATTCACTAATTGCAATAGAAATGCCACTCAACTTCAAAAAATTGCAGTTTCCTACACGCTTGGTATTTGCTACGAAATAAATAAATCCAAAGGACAAACCCTTCGTGTATGCATGTCATGTTACTGCTTTTGTAATGATTTTGTTTATTAACGCATTAAATTAGTGCAATATTTTTTTTTTTTTTTTTAATTTTTAAATTTGTTTTTCTTTATCCAACATATATTCGTAAATAAAATTTTGAATGCATATAAAATCAAGAGGGGTAGCGAAGCGCACCGGGTTCAGATAGTAGGGTATAAAAACAAGATGAGAGAAAGATAATGTTTCGCACGATTTATGCTCCTATATTGCTAGTCTGTAAAGATTCTCACTTGCCTGTCTATAGGAACTTCCCTTCACTCGTATTTAGAGACTACAGCTCACTCATCCATAGAGTCTCCTCTTCACTCCCTTTTTATAGACTTTATAGACGTATACAGAGACTCCCTTCCGCTCGTCTGTAGAGACTCCCTTTCCCTCGTCTGTAGAGACTTCCTTTGGATCGTCTATATTGACTTCCTCTCACTCGTTTATATTGATACTTTCCCTCACTCGTCTATAGTGAGACGTTCTCTTACTCGTCTAAAGAGAAACTCCCTTTCGGTCCTCCTTTACACTCATGTTTGTTGGGGAAATCTGCAGGAGCAAAAAATGAAATTACATTTTTTCTTCAAGGTATCCATAAATAAAAAGTCGCACTTCCAATGTTTGCCTATCAACGCAAAACTACCCTCAACTAGTAGTTGGATGTCAGAAATCACATTTGCCCGGAATAAGTAACCCATTTAATCACAAAGTTGCGTGTCAAATGTAAACACATGAAAGCTAAAATAAGGGTTATATTAGACGCTATGACCAAGAGGAATTCCTATTTCTTTTTAAATAAACCCATTCAGCAACCTTAGAACGGGACCAGTGAAACATTCACAAACACACACACACAGTAATAAAAAAACCTTCCAATATTACGAATGGGATGGTGCTCCCTTAAATATATGAACCTCGTGTAAAACTTTAATGGAGTTTAGCTCCATTGCGCATTTGTTGCTTTAAGGTCAGTGCCACAATTTTTATTATGGCATTGAATTCACAAGGTTGTGTTTCTCTTCCAGATTCATTTGTAGTCTCGGAAAAGGTAAAACTAATCTACTTACACCAATATCAACAAATAGTAGCAAAAAACAAATATGATATATAGAAAAATGGTGTAGTCATATCCCAGCAAACTCAGGTGGTTGCGGAGCTCTATATAGGGGACAGTAGAGAAATAACTAGCAGAATCAATTTCAAAATTTCTACCCTTTTTGAAACTTTTGAAATTTTGTATTGGGGTCCCTGTTGGTGGTAGGTTTGTGATAACGACTCGGAAATGTGTACTACAATTTGGCATTGGGTGAACAGACTGTGCTTGAAATCTGAAATTTGGTTTTGGAGTCGCTGTTCATTTGTAGCCTGGATATATGGAGGTGGTTTCGGAAATGTGTACTACAATTGTTCAAAAAGTACTTAATGGTACTATATTTGGCATTGGGTGAAGGGATAGAAATAAAATCGTAAAAATTGATATGGATGTCACTGTTGGTGACTGTGGTTGACAGGAGAAGCTGGTTTTGGATATGCGTACTTTAATTGTACTAAAGTTGGTAAAGGAAGAAAATTTAAGAGTTGAAATCATGAAATTTTATATTAAGGTCACTGTTGGTTCGTGTGGTTGAGACGAAAAGAAGTAAATGCCACACAATTTGGTATTGGGTGAAGGGATACGAGTGGAGCTAAAATTCTGAAATTTGATGTTGAGATCTCTGTGGTTACCACGGATTACATATGCAGACGTTAAAATAGTTTTGGACAAAAAGTATCTTCCTCGATAAACTTCAAAATAAAAGATTTTGAAGAATTTTTGGTGTATAAGGTAAACATGTTTATTTTCTTTTTTTTTCCTATCATTCTTTGCAAAAAAAGAAAAATT